GAGGAAATAGTACTTGGCAGGAAATAGTGCTTTTCCTACCAACCAGACTGGAGAACCTCATAGCTCATAGGACATTTGGTAGAGAACTCAGAAGGGTCTTGTATTAGTAGTGGGGAATAATTGTCCCTAGACTAAAAACTCAGCCTTGGTCCCACCTATCAAGTATTAAAAGCAAGACAAGAAGGGATCAAACTGCTTCCAAGTAACTTAACTACATCCATTCAAGGAAGCTCAATGAATACCAAGCATAAGAAACATGAAGAAAACTATACAATTCACACCATAACCAAACTGCTCAAAACTGGAGAGAAAGAGAAAATCTTAGAAGCAACCACACATATACAAGACATGTTAAGTTCAGAGGAACAATCTTACAGCAGATTTCTAGTCAGAAATAATGGAAGCAAGAAGTGGAACAACGTCTTTAAAGCACTAAAACAAAAAGACTGTCAACCTAGAAGTTTATACTCAATGAAAATACCTTTTAAAAATGAAAGTGAGCTGGGTGTGGTGGTGTGTACCTGTAGTCCTGGTCACTTGGGAAGCTGAGGCAGAAGGATTGCTGTAGCCCAGGAGTTCAAGTCCAGCCTGGGCAGCATAGTGAGACCCTGTCTCTTAAAAGAAGAAAATGAAACAAAGACTTTTTCAGACATACAAAAGCTGAAAAAATTCATCGCCTGCACACCCATACTATAAGAAATGTTAAAGGAAGTCCTCGGGAAATAATACCTGTTAAAAATATGGATCTATATAGAGGGTGAAGAGCACTAGAAAAGGTAACTACATGGGCAAATATATCATTTTTTCTTATTATTTAAATTTCTTTAAAGATAGAATAACCAAATGTTTAAACAAAAATAATAACATTATATTGTGGGGCTTATAACATAAGTAAAATATTATATATGACAATAAGAGCACAAAGGCCAGGGAGGTAGAAACAGAAGTATACTATTGTAAGGTTCATATACTATACATGAAGTGGTATGGCAGACTTGAAGGTAGACTGTGACAGGTTAAAGATGTATGCTATAAACTCTAAAGTAACCACTAAAATAATGAAACAAAGAGTTAAGCCAACAAAGGAGATCAAATAAAACAATAAAAAGTACTCAAACCAAAATAAGGCAGTAAAAAAGGAAAATTAGAGAAATGAACAGAGGAGACAAATAGAAAACAAACAGCAAGATGATAACCATATCAATAATCACATTAAATGTAAATGGTCTAAGCATCCCAACTAACAGGCAAAGATTGTCAGACTGGATAAAAAAGCAAGACCCAAATATATGCTTCCTACAAGAAACACACTTCAAATAAATAAAGACTGCAATATAAAGCAGCAAAGAATTTTTTTTACTCATTCCTAGGAGACTGTAAATATCAAATATCTGGGGGTAAAGACATTGGAAAATCTCCTAAATCTTATTGTTAAAGTGTTCCTAGTCCCGACCCATCTTTCAGTGAATTCCTGTTAAGGCTCTACTTTACTTCTCTCTCTAAAGCTCCAGCCATTCTACCATGTTGATTAGTTAATAAAAAAGAAAAAGAAAAAAAAATACAGCTCCAACCAGATATAAAAGAAACTGTGGACAGAGCAAGGAGTGGAAGCAGGCAGGCTGGTTCTAGCAGCCACTGGAGGAGTGCAATGTGAAGTGAGAAGAGGCTGATAAGCTTTCCTGTATAGCAAGAAGCCTTAGCTTCCACAGATCCCAACCACTCCCTGGACTCCATCTCTGATCTTCCCCCTTCCCATTCCTTTAGTTCCTTGCTTCAGTTCCTGGCTATAAAGGGCTTCCCATGGTTGACACCAAGGAGTACTGTACCTACTTCAGAATGGGGTTGTGTCCCAGCAGGAACAGGTTAGAAGCCATCTCTTGCCCAACTCTCCCCTCTCCCATAAGCTTAACATTAAATCAACCACCAAATCTAGATGCTCTGTCTGTTGAATATATTTTGAATGTATTCTTGGTTCAAGACCTCAATCAGCTTTTCCCTGACTACTGCGTTTGCAGCATTAAGTTCCTTGACGTACTCCTTGCCTCCAGTCTGGCTTTCTGCCAATCTATACACCACAATGACAGATAGGATATAAATTAGAGTGATATAAATTAGAAATCTTTGCCCACTGAAAACCTTCCAAGGCCCCTTCCTGCCTATAAGACAAAATCTAAGCTCCTTAGTATCATATACGATAATGTATTTTATAATCTGACTCTACACTACATTTTCAACTTTATCCCCTGTCTCTTTCAAGTATAATCCCTATTATGAATGATTCAGAGGTTCTGGAATATGGATATTGTACTGCAATGATTTTTCACATGCTCTTTCTTTTAGCTGGAATGCCTTTCCTCCTTTTCTCTACCTGACTGATAGATTCCTAACTTTTAAGAACCAGTTCAGATGTTACTTTTTTAAAATAAAGCCCTCCTATGTGTGTGTTTGACATTGCTATACACCAAAGACACAAGATGATAAATGAGATGTAGACACTGTCTTTAAGAAGCTCACTGCTTCTTATAAAGCATATATAACAGGAAGCTATGCAATAAATAATTATAATACCATTGTGGTATTCATGACCTTGTGTAGCTTCTCCCCGTTAACTAGTGGCCAATGGCATATTAGGTAGCATGACTCAAATAGAGGCTTGATAAGCATTTGTACATTGGGGCTTATTCTCTTGGAAGTCTCTCTCTTGGGAGCCAGCAGCCATACTGTAAGGATGTTTGGGCCATTCTGGAGGACAAGATGCCACATGAGGAGAAGAGGCTACTGGAGGTGAACTGGAGCACCCCAGTTGAGCTTCCAGTGGAATCTAGCTGCACAAGTGACCCCAATCAACACCAAGTCACACAGAGTGGCTGGGTCAACCCACAGAATCTTGAGAAATAAATCATTATTGTTTTAAGCCAATAAATTTGGATATAATTTTTTATAAAGCAATAGATAACCAGAACATAGTATAGTAAATACAGTGAGAGAAAGGTTAATAAGGATCATAAGTAGCAAACAGAAGGAAGTGATCATCTCTGAGCAGCATGGGAAGAGAAAGGGTCAGGAAAGATTTCACAGAGGAGGTGATGGGGGAGCTGTGTGTTGAAGGATAAGCCGGAGTCTCATGAAGTCAGGGAGAGGGGGCTACGGGCTGAGATAACGGCATATGCACAGGCTCAGATGCATAAAACAGAATGGCACATTCAGGGAACTGCAAGAAGTTCTATATTGCTGGTGAGACACGTATGAAAAGGGAGACACACAGGCCACAGCCTGGGGAGGGAGGCAGGGACGAGACCATGCAGGGCCTTGTTCATCACGCTGAGGACTTTATCTGGAAAGCAGTGAGAAGCCACTGAAAGGTTTTAGCAATGGAAATGACATGGTCAGATGTGTCATTTTAAAAAGTCCCTCTTCGGGTGGGGTAAAGGCAATATACATAACCTAAACATTTGTACCCCCGTAATATGCTGAAATGAAAAAAAAATTTTAAAAAGTGGTCATTTTCAAATGGCTTTAGATCTCTAAAGAGCAAGGATATTGTGCTTTTCTTAAATCAAATAAAAAAACATGCTATACTATCAAAAAAAAAAGTCACTCTTGACTGGTATAAAGAATAAATTTGGGGAAAAAACTAGATGCAGGGAGTCTACAGTGGTACTTCAGGGAAGCTAGGATAGTTGAGGCAGGATTGGAGAGAAGGAGATGGAATCCAGAGACATCTGAGAGGTAGAACTGACAGGATTTAGTGAGTAATTGGAAGTGTTTTACTCATACAAACTGTAATTTTTTTTTGTTTTTTAAATTTTAGACAGGGTCTCCCTCTGTGGCCCAGGCTGGAATGCAGTGGTGCCATCATAGCTCACTGTGGCCTCAAACACTCAGGCTCAAGAGATCCTCCTGCCCTTGCCTTCCGAGTAGTTGGAACTATAGGTTCGTGCCACCATGCTCAGCTAAGGTTTTAATTTTTTTTGTAGAAATGGGGTCTCGCTCTGTTGCCCAGGCTGGTCTTGAACTCCTGGGCTCAAGCAATCCTCTTGAGTTGGCCTCCCAAAGTGCTGGGATTATAGGCATGAGCCATAGTGCCCAGCCCTGTAAAGCATTTATCTGTCCCCCTGGAACACATTCTAGGATGGGGTCTGTGTCTTATTATTCTCCCAGTGCTTGGCACATAAAAGGTACTTAGTCAATGTTTGTTGAATAAATGAAGATGTTTTATGGGTGGGTCTGAAAAATACCTGTCATACATGATTTATTTCTATAGGACAAAAACATCCTTTAACACAAGTCATTTTAACCCATTTGTGACTTAGCTATTGCTTCATACAGAGCTCCAGCTGATTACACCTTATCTGGATTAAAACTCCAGGTTTCAGTTTGTGAATATAGACTGTTTTCAGTAAGCAGCACAAAAAATATCATAAAATTTCTAAGAATTAGGAAATTTTGCCAATATGCCAGTAAAGTACAGACCTCCGCAGAAGGCAGTCTTAACTGTCATAAAATGAATGCATCTAGGACCCCAGTCCCTTCACAGCATACCTTAAGAAACACCAGACATAAAAAGAGAATCTGATCCTGAGTTTATTTCTCTTCATTTTTTTTTTTTTTGAGACAGAGTCTCACTGTGTTGCCTGGGCTAGAGTGAGTGCCATGGTATCATCCTAGCTCACAGCAACCTCAAACTCCTGGGCTCAAGCGATCCTCCTGCCTCAGCCTCCCGAGTAGCTGGGACTACAGGCATGTGCTACCATGCCCGGCTAATTTTTTCTACATATTTTTAGTTGTCCAGCTAATTTCTTCCTATTTTTTTCTGTAGAGATGGGGTCTCGCTCTTGCTCACCTGGTCTCCTGAGCTCAAAGGATCCGCCCGCCTTGGCCTCCCGGAGGGCTAGGGTTACAGGCGTGAGCCGCCGCATCTGGCCTGATCCTGAGTTTATTTAAAAAAGAGAATAACAAACAAAAATCCCTTATAAACAAAATGAAACCCCAAATCTTACCTCCAGTGTCTTATCCAATCTGGCAGCTAGCCTTCCAATTTCATATAACAGCCGGGGGCTGACGGGAACCTCAGCTATGGGCCTTCCTGGGAGGTAAGTCAGCAGCCTCACCAAGTAGCTTTTGGTCTCCGAGCCACTGTCTAGATGGATAGAATGATACATCCTATCAACTATTCTTGAAAAAAAGTAATTAGAAGCTATTCTGCCTTTGATGTGATTATTATTTAAAAGAACAGAAATTACAGAACAAGAGAAAAAAATGTGCTAACCTAAAACAACTTGGCAGGATTCTATGAGGCAGGGCTGAGTGGATGAAGCAAGCAGGGAGAAGAGACAACCTCACAAACACTGGAATTGGCCATTTACGCACCAAAATTATCGCCCCAACTCTGCTGGCCTTAGCTGTTACCTACCACGGAAAATCACCTACTACAGTAACGAATGCAGAAACGCACGCTCTCTCACCAGTTTCGACTGAGGACAGTGAGATATAAAGAAATGACTTCCAGAAACACAGCCTCCTTCAGGGGCAAACTGGGGTGCAGCCCGCACTTGCAACACAGAACGATAACCACGCCTCAGAGACCACAACGGGCCTCAGGTGTTCGAAGCAATGCAAAGTAGGAAAGAATGGATGAACAATTGAGAGAGAAAAACACAGTCAAGATTTCAAACCTTTAAAACAAATTCCAAGAAACTGAATTCGGGCTGCTGCTTAGAGAACTGAATTAGGTCCATCTTAGCCTTCTAGCATTTAGAGGGGAAAGGCACCATCTTACAGATGGGAATTTGTAGCTTTAGGAATTTATTAATAAGTAATGTGCCCAAGGTTCCATATAGAGTAATGAAAGAGCTGGCATCTAAATTTCCTGATTGCTAGCTCATGTTTTTTCTGCTATATCATAGCACCGGAATATACAGCTGGTCTGATGAATAAAAATATTTACTTATTTTTCTGGTTTTAGAAAAAACAAAAAACATTCCCCTGATTTCCACAAGTCCCCTTAGTTACTATCCATCAGGGCCTTTCTAAGCAGAAACTTACACCAGATTCGGCTCTAACCACTTCTGAATCAGAAGCCCAATCTCCACTTTAGCCGTGCTGTGGCTTCTCCCATGCACTGAAAAAACAGCCATGTCTACATTTGGAATTATAAACCTGTTACTGTAGTCCAAAGGCAGTAACGTACCTGGATAGGCGACTGATTGGCAAGTGGGTCATCTCTTACCTACAGACACGAGAGAAGTTGTGTTGTCTCCTTTAGTTCGACACACCGAGGCTGTTGGAAACCCAGCTGCTTTCAGAAACATGATGATGTGGCTCTGAACTTCAATCAGGTCTGGGTGTTTGCTAGCCTCAGTGTTGCTGATTTTGAGGACATATTCAGTTGGGCCGTCTGTACTGTCTTTGGTTCTTGAAATGTATACATGAAAGTTTTGGTCATCATAGCTAGGAAGTGGCTGGATCTTGGAAACTTTTAACCCAAATACCGATTCCACTAATGCAGAGGCTTGTACCTCACTGAAAGTGGGTTTGGCAAGAGTCTGTGATTGTTGATCATCTCCACTTGACATGTCTAGCGGAATAAAAAACAAACCAGAAAGGGGGACATATAATGAATATATTTATTTAAATAATTTTTTCTCAAGATAGACCAATGTTTCTCTATACTGATTCTGTATTTCTTTTGATGATTAATTTTTACTTATGAAGTTAAAAAAAATCAGTAAATAAGACCAAGAAGTAGCTGTATTGGCAGGTGAATAAAAATCCATGTACCATAACTTTTTTTTTTTTTTTAAGAGAGAGTCTCACTCTGTTGCCCAGGTTGGAGTGCAATGGTGCAATCATAGCTCACTACAGCCTCGAATTTCTGGGCTCAAGTGATCCTCCTGCCTCAGCCTTAGGTACACACTACCACACCTGGCTGCTTTTTCTTATTTTTTGTAGAGACAGGGTCTTGCCATGTTGCCCAGGCTGGTCTCAAACTCCTGTCCTCAAGCAATCCTCCTGCCTTGGCCTCCAAAAGTGCTGGGATTGAACACTGTACCAGCGAGCCACTGTACCAGGCCACCATAAATTATTTTTGAACTTACCTTCGCAAACTGAAGGTATGTTCCCAGAGACAGAACACAGACCAGGAAAACACCTTGCTATCATCTTGTCCAATCCCTCCTCTTCCCCATCAACTTTACAGGGGAAATTTAGGTCCTGAGAGGATAAGTGACTTGCCCAAAGTTACATACTAAATTACGGTACTAAGTCTCCAGATTCCCAATCCATGACTACGTCCTTTTGACCATCGGTCTTGGATTAAAAGATAAATTCAAATACAGTGATCCTCTAGTCACAGTTTTGTAAAATTATAAGGATCACCATCTAGCTTATCACATATATTTCTGATATAAAAATGTGGACTGATGTGCAAAGTATTGTGCGAGGCACTGTGGGAGATGAGTGAGGCTCTGTAACGTTTGAAAAGTTAGCTCGCAGTCACAGACATCTAAACAACAAAATATTTAACAATGGCTCACAACAACAAGTTATAAGGCAGTAAGTAATAAACTGACTTAATGCCAAAGCAAGCCTTAAGTATAAACCTGAAATGACTGAAATAACACTGAAGTGACTGAGTTTACCTTGATCTGTAACGAACGTTTTTTACTGCTAAGAGGAATAAGGGCTTGAAATAAAGATCAGTTACAAAAAATAAAGTTACATTTGAGTTTGTGACAATTGAAACTAATATGTGCCAAAATTATGACATAGAGAGGGGAGAGAAATTACTACAGCCCAAGGAAAGATATTCTTGAGAAGATGGATTTGAGATTTTTTTATTTGGACAGACTGAGTGGAGGGCACTGTTTTCTTTCACTTGGTAATTCCACCCTCTGCTGCACATACCTGGCACATTTCCTGAGTGTCCAGGTATAAATGAAAGACAATGTGGGGCTTCTTCTGAACATCCTTCAGGAACCAAATATTTAAGGTCCTTACAATCTCACCTCCCTTTTTTCTCAAAATAGTTTTATTAATCCTTCATACTAAGTTGTAAATAATTGATAACATCTTGGCAGGGGGAGGGAGTTGCATTTTAAGGTATGATTTTTTTTTTTTTGAGAAAGAGTCTTGTTCTGTTGCCCAGGCAAAAATGCCGTGGTGTCAGCCTAGTTCACAGTAACCTCAAACTGCAACTCCTGGGCTCAAGTGATCCTCCTGTCTCAGCCTCCCAAGTAGATGGGACTACAGGCAAGCGTCACCGCACCCAGCTAATTTTTCTATTTTTTGTAGAGACAGGGTCTCACTCTTGCTCAGGCTGGTCTCAAACTCCTGAGCTCAAGCGATCCTCCTGCCCCGGCCTCCCAGAGTGCTAGGATTACAGGCGTGAGCCACCACGCCTGGCTTTAAGGTATGATGTTGATTGCTGTTCAGGGGATGCGGTGTTATATAAAAACAATCTCATGAACGGTTATCTTTTGATGATAGAACTTGAAAGAGCTGTTTCTTCTGACAGGGAAGAGGCACAAGGGAACTTTCTAAGAGGAAATATTCTGTATCTTGAGTAGGCTTTGGTACACAGTCATATACATTTGCCAAAACTGCATTGAAATCCTAAGTAAACTAAGATCTGTGACTCCTGCTGAATGTAAAGTTTACCTTAAAAAAAAAAAAAGAGCCCTTCTGAGAGATTGTTTAAGACAAGAAAGGATGGGTCTTAGGACTTTCTTGGAACTCCCAAAATCAGGCCAAATTTCTGTCAATGCCTAAATATCTTTGGCTCTATCACGGCAAAAGTGCAACTTACTCCAGTGTGAGGAAGGGAATAAAATTCAGGGAGGTGTACCAGGGTTCTCCTATAAGACCCCCTCCCTGCCTCAGCCCCAGGACAATAGCCTGATGACTCCAGTGATAATAAGCGTGTAAACCTCAAATGCTAACCACCCCCATGCCATCCTCCATGGCCTCCCCTGATCCTCCTACCCAAAGTGATTTCTCCAGCCTCTAAATTTGCAGAGCCCCTTGTGCCAGTGGTTGGTTTCCACCACCTGTCATAGCTGTTGCATTCTTGACAATCACTTCTCATGTTTACTTTCTAAGCAGAGCCTTTGTTTTCAGAAGCAAGTTATGCTGTTCAGATTTTGTTCACTAAAGATATTGTGACAAAGCCTAAATGGAATTTCAAAACAATCTTTACACCTGAAACTTCTGGGAACCAGTATATCCTGTCACACTGTATTTGGGCTTAAGACTTCACATGGAATTTTAACATTCCTTCTGAGAGATATGAAAACTGGTGTAATACGAACTGAAGCATTAACTCCAAGATGAAATCCTGGGGTAATTTTCCAACTCCCAAAGCGTTAAGGATGTCAGAATAATTCTGAATTGCATAGGAATGATAAGTTCTTAAAATTGGAAGGAACCTTAGAGACAACTGGTGAAGGCCAATCTCCTTTCAAGTCTAGAAGATTTTCCTATAGCACCCTTGAATGGGGCTTGTTAAGCCTCTGTTTGGAGAGCCCTGTTTTCTGCAGCAGTGCAAAGCAATGTTGGCAGCTCTGGCCATCAAAAGACAGCCTGATATAATAAAAGTTGCTGTGCTGACAGAAATAAGACATATTTTATTCCTAGCTCTGCTACTTAACCTCTGAAACGTTGGCCTAGTTATGTCTCCTCTAAAAGAGAGTTGGACTAGATCATCCCTAAAGTCCCTTCTAGCTCTAAGATTCTATGCTTCAAAAGTTTTTTATTTTTGAGCTTAAATTTGCCTGTTTTCTTTGTAAAAGGACTCCAAATCATAGAACTAATGGCACAGATCAAGTCAGCTCCCATAAGTGAATACATACAAAGAAAGAAATGTGTTTACTATAAAGATGTCTGCCTTAACCAAATGTCTCCTGAGTGTCGAGGGAGGAGGGGAATCCAAATCCTATAGGTTGTTGGTCTATATATCCTGTGGACAGTATTTTACTTAAAAAAGGAAAAAAAGCCCTTAGGAAGCAAGTGTTTTCCAACAGCAAGGTTTGTGGCAGAATCTCACAACCTCTGTCCTACAACTAGCGGGAGTGGACCTTAAACTCTGCACTTTGTGCAAGGTATACCAGATAAAAAACTGTCATTCCCGATTCTTTCCTGTTCTCCATTCCCAAAGTGTTACAAAGTCCAGTACATTCTACCTTAGCATGTCTTCCAGATCTACCTTTCTTCTCCTGCATCCCCTTTTGCTGTGTCCTTCCAAGGAATTGTACCCAGTAAATCTCTGCATTACCAGCATCTGGCTCGGTCCCTTATTTAGTATTAAACAATGAGCCAAGTGTTGCCTCCGCTCCACAGGCTCACTAAGCTGTTCGCCCTCAAGGGGGTCACGAAACAGCAAGACGGTGGGGTACGTAGAATCCACAGTTTTCCAAAGACAACAATGCATTAGGTGCTCTAAGGGTCTTCCTGCTGGGTGGAGGAGGAAGAGGGGTGGGACAGCCGGCTGCAGCGGGGCTGCTGACCCAAGAGTCAGGAAAATAAGGGAGGAGGAGGGCACACGAGTCAGGTTTACACGCCATTCTATCAGTGAGGTCTCGGGGAGCCTTAGAAATTGCGCCCACCGGATGCCCGGCCCGGGCGCCAGGCGCCGCGCCTTCCCGCTGCCAGGTCCCACACGGTCTCCTAGGGCGCCGCGCTCTCACTCCGGGTTCCCGGCCCAGCCCCGGGGGCAGGGCGACTCGCCCGTCACTCAAGCAGCGAGTCTGAAGCGCTCCGGGTTGCAGACTCGCAGAGAGCCTCCCTGCTCTCGGGGGCGTCCCTTCCCGCACGGGGGCCCGGGGCTCGCCCCTGCATCCCCGCCTCGGCTCACCAGCAAGAAGCCGGCGTCCGGGAAGATCCCGCTCTCCAGCAGCCAGGTGCTGCGGCCGCGTCCCAGCGCTCGCGCAGCCACGTCGCGCCGGAGCCGCCGGGCCTCGGCCCGCCCCACCTCCGAGCCCGCGAGCCCTGACTTCTGATTGGCTCGTCCAGACCGTCCGCCGCCCAGTCAGCGCAGGCTACTGGAAGGCGGCGCCCAGCGAGGTCGACTAGGGCTTTTCCCAGCCCCGCCCAGGAGGCCTCGCAGAAATTCAAAGATCTGGCTTCTGATTGGCTGTCTGAAGTCCCGCCTCCACCTTTCTCCGCGAATGCCCCAGTCAGAATCCGGCTACCTTTTCGCGAATTGGACTTCTTGTTTCTGATTGGCTCTCTGAGTTACGCCCCGCCCCCTGGCTGTGAGTAGCCATTTAGCAGGCTTTCGGCCTCGCAGTTCCCCTCACGTAGGCGTGGAGGCTGCGCGGGTTCCTGCTTTCGGCGTTCCGAGTGTGCGGGAGGGACTAGCGTCCTCGCTTTTCTTTCTTCGCTGTCCCTCCGCCTTCTAGAAGCGCGGAGGCCGGAGCGCCTTCCCAAAGCGCGGCCCGCGGTAGACTCGAGCCCATCCCAGCCCCAGGAACTGCCCGGGTCCGACAGGAGGTTCTGACCATCCGGTGGCGGCGTTCCGCAGGGGACCGGGCTGTCCCTGGACCCGGAGTGTTCGAGCCCGGAAGGGTCTTACTTGTCGCGTAGGCCCACAGGCTCCTCGCACGGACGGGAAACTGAAGCCGAGGGGCACAGACGCTCGACCGACCTGGTCACCAAGTCCCAGCTCGGCCTCCCCGCAGTACCGCTCTTCCCAAGCTGTTTAATTCAACATAGCGGAGGGCAGAGGGGAGTGAAGGCTGCCCCAGAGGCTTCCCAGGGGGGTGAGGTCGCCACAGCTGAGGTTTGTGTGATGAATGAGTCATTTACAGTGAGAAACAGAACTGACAATTGGGTCAGAATCCTTATGTAGGTAGTGCAATCAGTGGATTCTCCCGCTGCAGGAAAGTCTGCAGAAATCACATGATTTTCAGAATGCCGCATGGGATTCACGAGGTAACAGCCAGATTAATTGGATAATTTTCACTGTCAAGGGCGCAAAGCTCTGTTAAGTAGCTTGATGCTCTTCTCCAGCCAAGCAGGACTTCTCTGATAAGTCAGAGCAGTCTCTGCTGGAGGAGAGTGGTGTTCTGGATACCGGTCCACTCATGCCTGCAACTTGGTCTCTATTTTGTTTTTGCCAATGCTCGTACTACCCTTTTTTTTCCGTCAGAATATAGCACATTCTGGTTATCTATAGTCCCCCTGATTGCCTTGGATGATTCTCAAACCTCTATCCGCCACCTATTGAGGGAGGCCTCTAGTTCCCCTTTGGGTATGGATCTTACCTGCTTCACCTCTAATCTCCAAGGAGCAGGGCTGTCTTTTTATAGCCCCAGGGGGGTGTAAACCTTTCGGTTGTCAAAAAGTACTTTTGACTTGAATTTTCTGTAACAAGAATTGGGATCCCATTAGCCCCCTTAGACCCCTCTACATGCTGTTCCCTCAGGTAGCTCCTGAATTCTCTCCACTTCTCACTGTTCCACCTTTATTGGTCTTTTTCTACTCCTCTTAGGATGAGGGAATGGGAATGAAGATTGCAGAAATTGTAAGAATGGAAGAGACAGGGCTACTGGTTACACAGCTGCCTTCTTTGGAATGTGTCCATTTCTGCTCCCTGCACCTCCTTTAGAAATACTGTACTTGTAAATTGCCTTTTTCACTTTAAGTGAGCATTTCCTTGTTTTAAAGAATATCCTCATATGTAAATCTTTTGTGCATTTTAAATTGTCTTTAAGATAAACTGCACAGTCATATTACTGGGTGTAAGAATGAACACTCCTAAGGCTCTTAATACATGCTGCCAAATCATGTTTTTCTTCAATAATGCCAACACTGATGTCATGATAAAAAAATTGCACCAAGCTAAGAAATGTCATGTTAAGCTGGGCATGGTGGCAAGCACCTGGAGTCCCAGCTACTGAGGAGGTTGAGGTAGGAGGATCGTACCTAGGAGTTCAAGACCAGCCTGGGCAACATAGTGAGACCTCATCTCTAGGGGGAAAAAAATGTCATTTTTGTAGTCTTTCTTCTCCACCTGACCACTGAGGCACTTTAAGTAGTGGCTCTCAAGAGAGCTGTGATCAAAAATGAGTGAAACAAAATTAACAATTTGCAGTGAGATTATACACGACTTTATATTATAAAACAATGTCCTATAAAACATAATAGCTTGGTCAAGGTGTGAGATTTCCTTGAGGCAGGAGTTTGAGACCAGCCTGAACAAGAGCCAGACCCTGTCTCTGTAAAAAATAGGAAAATTAGCTGGGTACAGTGGCGTGCACCTACCTATAGCCCCGGCTACTTGGGAGGCTGAGGCAGGTGAATTGCTTGAGTCCAGGTTTGAGGTTGCAGTGAGATGATGATGCCACTGCACCCTAGCCTAGGCGACAAAGCGAGATTCTGTCTCAAAACAAACAAAAAACTCTCCAGAACATAATAGCCCAGTAGTTTTATGATACTTCCTTAAACAACCTATTGCAGGTTGTTTAAAATTCAATGCTAACACCATGCAAAAATTTAAAAATTCAGTGACAAGTGTCATCATACCAGCAGATTTTTGTGGGGATTACATAAACATCTGCTTTTGCAATAGATACATTTTTCAAGTATACTGAACAGAGGCTTTGTAGTTTAGTATTCTGGAAAAATTATCAGCCAAGTAACTCATATCAAAACAATAGAGTTGAAGTTAATGTACAATTAAAAAGCAAAACTGGCATCAAGTGAAAACTAAACCAACTAAATGCAACACTGATGATGCTCTAAGTTTCCTCCAACACTGGATATTCAAACTATGGGCAGTGTTTATTTTGGTATTAGCCTTTGTAATGCAAATTTGTACTACTAAATTGGAATCCTTAGAAGGCTTTTTAATAATGTGCCAATTATGGTTTATGAATGCCAAAGGTTAATAAATGGACCTTAACCACTTACTTAGTTTGCTATTAAGAGTGGGATTTACCTTTTTAGGTAAGTGGGGAGCCGACCATATTTACAAAACATTCCTTTAGGGTAGAGACAGACCTGTGGTCCTGGCTCCCAGCTCCAGATGACTTGCTTCATGAGCACTAATGAACAGGCAGCAGGGGGAGCAGGCAGCCCCATTAGCTTGGTTCCGTGGCATAGAGCACAGGAATACTTAACACCTCCATCCGGCATCATCCAGAAAAGGCCACTTCCTCCTATAATACACAATTCATAGCAGACTTCCAATTCTGTCCTCAATGTTCACTTTAACAAACTACCTCCATAATAAAAGGTGGTTATGTGCAGTGCAATTTGTGAAAGGTCCAGTTTATCCATTCAATATGTATTAATGCTTAGTTGTACAAAAGTTCTTTAAGAGACATAGATTAGGGAGAACCAAAATCAGTGGCAATATATACACATACACACACATATAAGCTATAAGGGTGCAGACTTCAGCTTGAAATACTTTTTTTTTTTTTTGAGACAGGGTTTTGCTATGCTGCCCAGGCTGGAGTATAGTCGCTATGCACAGGTGCCATCATAGCACACTACAGCCTGGAACTCCTGGACTCAAGGTAATTCTCCTACCTCAGCCTCTCAAGTAGCTGAGATTACAGGTGTGTACCACAAAGACTTTCTAAACAACAAAATTTCAGCCAATAGGATGGGTTGTCTGGCACAGTACAGAGTATTCAAGAAAGCTCTTGATTTTTCAAGATAAGGCCGGCCAGTTAGGAGATGTTATTTGTACAAGGGATCCTGCTTTGGGTGAGAGATTAGTCTTTTCAATTCAAAATGTGACTCTTGTGAATCTAATTATCTGTTGGAATGACCCTTAAATCGCATTCAACTTTATTGTTTAAGGCTATTCCTACTTCAAGCCTTTACCTTGGTTTTCATTCTCACTAGCCCCAGAGTAGAAAGGAATTGCTAGATTCCTTTTCAAGTCATGGTGTTTTATTTTCAATTACCACAAAATATTTTATGACAAGAGTCAAATGTGATAATACAATTTTCTTTATTAAAAATAATTTACAGCATCAGTAACATATACACAATTGTCATCAACTGAACTTGCCTCCAATATATTTCTATACAATACTTAACATTATTGAACTTAAAACTGTTACACTGTTTTGTTGGCTTTAAATAATAGACAATGATTTGTAGTTACTTGAGATATATGATTTCATAGCCACGTATTACGTGTAAAATTGATATAAACATTGTCACTACCACCCTTTATGGGGGGGAAAAAACCACTGAAAAAGCCAAAGTCCATCCCCTTCTCCTCTCTTTATTACTCCAAATCAAACTAAGATAGGGTCAACATCCAGTATCTTATTATCTTCTAAACCTAAAGGCAAAAGAAAGGTATCTTTTAATTCAACCATAGAAAAATGTCAAATAATTTCTCCTCATCCTGTCACTCATCACTGAGACAAGATAAATGCATACAACATTGTTACCATATATGCAATAAACTGGGATTCTGATGTAGGTCTTAGCTTTACTTTCCTTTGGTACAACTGCAGTTTGATTACCAGCAAAAAACTGAGCCATCTGACTAGAGGGATTTTGATAGCTCTCATTCAAGTGTCAGCATGGAGATAAAACAGGAAATAATGACAACTGTCATCTTATAAACTTTTTAGGTATAACATGGTAATTCAGTGGCTGGATGACATTTTCATTGATTTTTATAGGAGTAGCAAAAGCCAAAAAGGTATGAAAATGACAATGATATGTAGTATAATGTTTTTAAAAGATTTTTACAAATGCTGCCATGGGTAATGACCTTTGAAATTGTGCTTTAAGCTTGCAACACTGATTTGTTTTTTTTTTTTTTGTGGCTATTATACTTCCTTTTCACAACATTTGCATTTTTTTTTTTTTTGGTAACACAAAATTATCCAGATATAGTCAACAAAGGAGGTAAGTAAGACAATGAAAACCAACAGATGCCAGATTTTTGCAGACACAGCATTTGGCCAGAAGCAGAATTATAAGGTATACACATTGGAACATACATCCATGATCCTTTCCCAATTTAAAACCATGCTTATCAAGCTTTTGGTTCATTGTATATACACAAAAATTATGAGAACCTTGACTTTGTACTGAAATAGAAGATGTACTTGTATTAATACTGGACTAGGCAGACTGGAAATGTAAATGTTTAATTCATACCTAGCTGGCTTGATTATTATCTCCTGGATCGGCTGTTGACGATTAATGCCTGTGCCTCTGCCCATAGACTATATATATGGCATGCCTTCAAAATAATACATATTCCTCCTCCCCCACACACCATGTGGAATTACCATTTTTTCAAAGCACATAACAGGTATTTTAACATTAAATTTGTAAATTCTCCATCCCTAACTCATGTTTTCATGTAAATTAAAAACACATGCACTGACAAATATACAGCATGTATCAAAAACACGATATAACTTTAAAGTACCAAAGAATATGTTTATAAAAAATTTAAGTAACGGGGAAATTTTGTCAAATTCGTTTGCGAAACTGTTTGCAAAATCCAAACACATATTTGCAAAACATTTTCAAAAGATTGTATGATTATGTGCGAAGTTCTCAGTGGTCTTCATCCACTGGTTTGGTAGTTTCAGCATTTTAGCTTAAAACAAGTAATTCTTTATTCTGCAATGTGAGCTAATTCTAAATTGCAATTAACTAGGTCATAGAAAGACCTCCACATGGGGGAAAACAAAATTACTACAATTAACTTTTAGGGTGCTAAGTTTAATTTCATAATTTTTAAAAGGTATAGAACCTTCTGGAATTAATTATTCAACTTTTCAAGTTGCCAAACATCTTTTTAATAGAACATTTGATGTGGTGGACAGACACACATGTTGAGAATATATGGTACTCAGATAGCAACAACTTAAGTGTTTTATCCTTACAGTCAGCTTTGGTTAAAACAATAACATAACAAAATTAATAGAATCATGCAGGCAAGGTAAAACAGTGATTCAAAATGACAGGAAATCAATTTAATTAAGAAACAGCAACATTTAAAAAATGCTTACGGTTGAGCACCTATATAATTTAGGATGGATAATTTAGAAGTCTAGAGAAAATCAGTTTAGAGTTTAATGACTAAATGAGTTCTCTTTATCAACTATAAAATGAGTGTGGAATTTTGGTTAATAATATCTAAAATATTAGGTTACGGGAAACTGTAGTATCACATAAGGTAAGCAAAATAATCTAATCCAATTATAATATAATGCCATTTGAGGCTTGCCAGAGGGTCACAGTGGCAAATTACTGAAAAATTAAAGGCTGCACCATATGTGATACATATTTCCAATGCTAATACATGGTACCACACAATCAGTTGTATTCTGCCATGGTCCATCTTCAGATGTGGAGGAAACCCTGGCTGGATTGTTGGACAGAATGATTGTGATCTGGGGCAGGTTTTATCCCTTGTAGTTAGACTGAGACTGAGGATAAACCTGGCTTATATGACAAACTAAGAATGCCAAATGTGTCCAGCTGAATTCTGAAAAGGAATCAATAAAAGTCCATTTATAAATCAGATTCTGATGTCCATAATTTTAGAGTCTTAATCTGGCTTCTTATATTTCAATCTGATACTCTTAACCAACAAACAGTAGTACAGTTTTATAGGTGCAAAACTAAACAAACAACTTCAGGAAGGCTACTCATATAAGAATCTTCAACACAAGTTCAAATTCTGCCTTTATTTACAAAATGGTCTGATAAAATATCCCCCCCACCCATACTTACAGGTCTCTTCCACAACACACTTCACACGTTGATTTTAGCAATGTTAATAGCACCATTCGTATATTATTTAAAATCAAGAAGATTTCATTTCAGTCACTATGTTGATTCATAATCATTTACATCCATGGATGAGATAAGTGAGTATACTGGGACTATCTGCAGCTCCATGGTAAGGATTCCTGGGTCCAGCACAAAGGGCTTTGCAGTTACCAGTTATGAAAGGTATCCATGGTGAGTAGATACTATGAGTATTTTCGTGCCACAAAGTTTAATAATCCTCCGTGTTTATACAATGTTATTTCCACATCATTTTCAAACGAAGCAATCACGCTGAATACTTTTCCAGTGCTTGTCTTTAAACAAACAAAAACATCTTATATGAGTTGTAAAATACAAGTGCTACTTAGTAGTTAAGAACATTTGTCTTCATATTTAATGACTTTACTTGCCACACCGTCTGTCTGATTTTCCTGGTTCTAATTTCATATATTCTGATCACCTGAAACCCTTCTGCTGCTTGAAAACATCTGAGATACCTGACCGTGAGCTTCATATCTAGGTAGAAAAACAGTTATTTTCATCCCTAATTCTAAATAAGTATACTACGTAGAACATCTAAATCAAAGCATTTAGATTTTGACATTAATTGTGGAAGTTATACTCACTACTCATACGCATTTTACACCAAGTATTCATTGCACATGGTAACTCCTACTCTTTTCCTTCATTTTCTTAGTTGTAATATCTGTGTTGTTCTAACCCTGAATGCTCAGCTTTGCCTTCTCTTTGGAAGACTGTATACACTTGGGTTAAAATTAGATCACCAAGAGTTGAAAACTAGGAAAAGGAAGTTGACATGTGTAACTGGAAGTCAAGACACCCCTCCAAGTGTCTTTTTTCTGCACTAAGCATCCAGTTCTTTCTACTTTTCCCCAGAGAACATGAACTACATTAACACAGGTTTAAGTATGTAAGAAACAGAGTCATCTTAAAGTACAACTTATGTTCACTAAGTGACATTAGAATAGAATACAATTTATAGCAATTGTTTCTTATTTGATTTATAACCATTTCTTTGAGTACAGAATGCACAATCACGTATTTGAGAATTCTAGAAATACCTGCATATTTAATGTAATCCCAGGAGACAGTTCTTGAGGAAATGTTAAAGAAAATGTTTCTCTGCCAGAGAGGCCCAAGGAATCTGCATTTTCTCCCGGAAGGAACTGAAGTGGAGCTATGCCAATTCCAATCAAATGATCTTTGTGTATTTTTTCATAACTTTCAGCCAAAACAGCCTTTACACCCTGTAACAAATGTGTGTTTTATTTCCTGCAGCCACTTGTAAAAGTTGATTCACTGAGCATTTAAAGGGGGGAAAAATCTACTTTGCCTTTCTATAAACACTTTTAATCTAATACCGCCTATGAATCATGTTCTATCAAAGTATTTATACAAGGCTTTTATAGATTTTTTTTTGGATTTTTAAGGTGTTTCCTAAGTTATTCTGACTCCCCCTCTGCTGCTCCAGGGTTAAGTACTACCCCTGCCTACCACATAGTATGAGCTCTATAAACGGGGTGGCTGCTTTGACCTCAAATAGGGCTCAAGAGGATTGCTATTCAAACATGGCAGATCTAACACATGTGTTCTTCAACAGTCTCTTGAAATGCCACTGAAATAAAGGAATAAAGAAGATATAAACTCACAGCAACAAAGGGAATAGGATGAGAGAATTCTATAAATATTAATATTTGGAACACTGGTAACTGACTTAGACAATGTTGAAACTACAGAATGATAAATTGAGATCAGAGTGATATCAATAAGGTCTGAGTCAACCTGCAACATAAAACCCAGGAAAAACTTGAGACTCAGAGGCATGAGGATCTCGGCACACTGGGAATACTGGTTTGAAGTCAAGTCTATAAAAAGCAGTAAGATCTCCAGCCCAATCCCCACTCCAAAAGAGCAGAGGTTTATTCTCTGGAGAAAATGAGCTAGAGAGGTTCTAGACTTGTGTTTTGCAAAATTTTTCCTTATTGTTACCTCAGGAGCCCTTTAAGACAGTTTTTCTTTAATCATGAATTCCTCCTCACCTCCTCTCCCTCTGAAATTCTGATACCACATACTGTTTATCTGTTTATATACGATATGTTTATCTGTACTTTATACATAAAAAAAGTTTTGTTTTTTTTTTTTTTAACCACCTAAGAATCAATTTTCATCCCTTGGGAGTGCCATTACCGCTGCTGATAACGCATTTTCTAGACTAAGGAACACAGGCCAAGGGGAAGGCTGGGGTCAGAATACCAGATTGGAAACAGGGGATTAAAGTAAGTCTGCACCCTGAATGAGTCTACTTCCTTGAAGAAACTGAATGGCCTCAGAAAAAGTACTTACAGATAATGACACACAGGGCTCTCTCAATGAAAATGGTAGCTTATCACCCAATCATCTATAGCAAGCACCACCAATTGACAAAACCCAATCCCCACCCACAGCTCGTAATCAGTTTTTTAACATCTAACTAAATGGACAGCCAAGGATCACCCATTACATGAGGAAAGCCTCCAACATAAAAAACAGACTAAATAAATTTTCAGAATAAAAAGAACCTATACCTATAATTAATACTTATAATTAATATCTCAGAAGGATAAGAATTTGGTTTATTCCTGTAAATTCTCAGAATATTTGCATTTTAAAGGAGAAACTAAAGATTCAAAAAGAATGAAGTTTTTGTGATATGCCATGAGGGTTGTGTTTTGGTCGGCCTTTTTATAGCTACAATTTGTAAAGAGAGGCGCTTGTGAGTATGAAATAGCAGAAAGCATATGTCACATGACTATTGCCTCCAGTAGATGGCCTATTTGCCCTGCAACAAGTAAACCGTCTCAGAAGAAATGTCTTCCTGGCCAACAGCCAGGTACCAATAATCTCCTATGAGGGTGGGGGAGAAGTGACACTTGGCCCACTACCTCTGAGTCTCTTAACCCCTGATAGAGCAAATCAGAGAAAATTAAATGAAAAGGAGGCAAGTAAAACTACTAGTAGGTATAAACAATTATTATAAAGTAATAGTTTAAGACAGAATCTCCTTTCCCTCTACCATATTGACTTCTTCACATAAGACTGATGTATGTTTAATCAAATTCACAGTATTAAAATGCAACTAACAACTAGATGAATACAAAATATTATCTAAGAACACTGAAAAAAACCTGAGATTCAAATAAGCATTAAAAAATCCAAATAAGCAAAATAAACTTTGACAGGATATTACTGACCAAAGGGAATATGTAAAACCCTTTGAAGCTTATGATGATAAATTTTAAGAATCAGTACCAGTAAATATGGTCCTTTGGCAGCCCAGTCTCTTGAGTTTCCTGAACCATATTTTTTTCCTGCTAAAATAATCAGCGGGATACCTTCTTTCTGGTACAGCTCTGCAGCCTCAAACACATCTAGCTGTAGATTAAAACAAACACAAAAATCTTTAATACAAAATTTTGATCCAGTGAACAATTGCCTAAACACTTTGTATGCATCCTTACCGACTGTCCTGATGGAAAATGAATTGTTTTGGGAGCTGGCTTTCCAATAAACTTATTAAAAAGCTTGATATTTGCAAAAGTACCTCTTGTCATCACAGCATCATTACCTCTTCGGGCTCCATAAGAGTTGAATTCTCGAGGGGTAAGGCTACAAGAAAGTTATGGAAAGTCAGTTTTCATTCCAGAAGGAAAATAATGACATATTATTGAGTTGTAAAACTTATTCAAAAACATTTTTTTAATAAGTAAAATTTCAAGCATGTACGAAGTAAAAACAACAGAACAGTGCATGTCCATGCACCTATCACCAAGCAATAATAATCAACTCATGGACTCTTCGTTTCTTCTATAGTCACCTCCATTAGATTATTTTGAAGCAAAGCTCAGATACATTATAACTGTATATATTTCAGCATGTTTCTCTAAAAGATACAGACTCTTTTTTTTGTGGGGGAGAGACAGGGTCTTACTTCGTTGCCCAGGCTGATCTCAAATTGGGATTACAGGTGTGAGCCACTGTGCCTGGCCTTTTCCATAGACTCTTTATACTATCTTTGGGCTGGGCATGGCGACTCACGTCTGTAATCCTAGCATTCTGGGAGGCCAAAGCGGGAGGACTGCTTAAGCTCAGGAGTTCAAGACCGCATCTCTACTAAAAATAGAAAAAATTAGCTGGGCGTGGTGGCATGTGCCTGTAGTCCCAGCTACTCGGGAGGTTGAGGCAGGAGGATTGTTTGAGGTTGCAGTGATCTATGATGATGCCACTGCACTCCAGCATGGGGAACAGAGCAAAACTCTGCCTTAAATAAACAAACATACAAAACCCACCATCTTTATGTATACATACTAAAAAAAAAAAAAAAAACTACAATAATTTCTTCCTATCAGATAGGTAGTCAATATTCAAACATCCCTGATTTTTCTCCATTCTATTTTTTTTTAAGTTGCTTTGTTCAAATCAGGGTTCAAATGCAGTTCATAAATGCATTCAGTTGATCTAAAGTCTCTTTTAATCTGTAGTTGACCCTTGAACAACACAGGTTTAAACTGTGAGGGTCGACTTATATATGGATTTTCAGTTGAACGTGAATCGAAAATATGGTATTTATGGGATGCAGAAATTCACATATGCTGAGGGCTAACTTTTCATATATGTGGGTTCTGCAGAACATAGTGCAGGACTTGAATATGCATGGATTTGGCTATATGCGGGTGGTCCTGGAACCAACCCACTACACACACCGAGGGACAACTGTGTATGTTCCCTTTCCTCCCCACCCTCTTGTACTTTATCTGAAGAAATTAGGTCATCTGTTATATAGCTTTCTATATCTATAATAGATTGTATTTACTGCACCTCCACGGTATCATTTAACATGTTCTTCTGTCTTCTGTGTTTCTTGTAAACCAGATGTCAGATCCAGTGGCTTGATAAGATTAGAGTTTTTACTTTTTGGCAACAATGTTTCATAGGTTGTATGCACTTCGCTCAGGAAGCACATGATATTCAATTGTCTTTTTCTGCAATATTATCAGTGATTGATCATCGTTTACACTGATGATTTCATTAGAGATTGTAAAATGGTGATTCTCTAATTCAATCATTTCTTCTTCATTTTTTAGATGGAAAACTTCTATAAAGACAAACTTTCCTTCATCAAGGATTTGGTTATACTGCAATACATCCCATAGAAGAAAGGCTGGTTAAAGACTTGATTGTTTACCAGTTTTCAAAATAATGAGCTGGTTCCCTATCATTTTCCGAAAGTAATTAGTATGATGATTTTTGTTTTTTCTTTTAATATTATTTATAAACTCATGAATTTAAATATACTTATGTTTCAATCCCTTCCAGTTATTATTCTTATTGATGCTCAACATGTCCCATCTTTGAGCAGTAACAAATTCAAGTTGGATCCTGAGTAAAGCTATACATTATTATTACATGTCGAACACAGCACTGATACTTATAAAACATCTCAATGAAAAATCTTGTCATTTGAATTGTTCAAGCATCAAATAAGCATCCAAAAGCTAATCAGGCACAGCACCGCAACTTCTGCTTTTTGCAAAACTTTGTCTCTCGTGTCAAAATAGTCCATTGATAACAAAATAATTCTACTTTATTAATCATGTATAAATGAAATAAAATCTGCATAGTTTTAGATATTTTCAATAATAAATGGCTTTTACATTCACATTTATTGTTCCTGTAAAATTTTACGTTCAAGAAGCAGAAATTTATTATCTTTTGGTTTGATACACATCAATCCTAGCCTCATGTATGTACGTTTTATAGCTCATAAAATACACATTTAGATTCTGTACTCCAATAATGGGAAGCTGGTTAGAACCAAATGATCAGGCTTCATTTGGTAGGTCAAACCAAGCTGATTTTTCAACAAAGTAGCACTGAAAAAGAAAAATTTTATTTCTGATCAGTTGTTTATACAGACTATAATTTTATAAACTCAATTTAAAACAGATACTTCAATTTCTAAAGTTATAAGCAAAGGTACAACAGGCAACCCCCAGTTCTTGCTTAAGTCAAATACAACGACAATCAGACACCTATGATAGCATGTATTTACTGGATAAAAGAACATGACCAGTTGAAGCCTCTTAATCAGTGAGAAGAAGACAAAACAAAAACACTCTAAAGCCATGTACACATACCCTCTGTTTGTCAAATACTTAGCGGCAGCACTATTCCTCGCGATACTTCCAGCAGGTGATATATGATCTGTCGTGACAGAGTCTCCCAAGTAGAGTAAGACATGGGCATTTTCAATACGCTGGAGTGCAACTGGCTCTTTGGTCTAAAAGGTAAAAGTTCAAGGCATTTAACTCTTCACAAGATCTGAGTTTGTAACAATCTTTAAAAGATCAAATAGTAAAACAGTACTTACAAGTTTATCAAAAAATGAAGGACATCTGATATAAGTAGATTTTAAGTCCCATGGAAACAAAACTGAATCTGGTGCTTCTAAGGAATTCCACCGTTTATTTCCCATCTATGAATATGGTTTTGGTTGATGAACCAAAAGAAAGACAAAAAGAACTCAGAAAAGAGGCTTATAAAAATGATCAAGGGAATAAAATAGTATGTAGGTCAGAATGAAAAAAAAAAGGGCTAATCCATATGGAAAGAAAGCTAAAACAGTGTATTCAATAAAACAATAACATGTTTGGACAGAATAATTAAAGATCTGTTCATCAAATTCTAGCACACCAGATCTTCGGGAACACCCTAAGAGGTAAGTTTCAATACAAACTGAACATAAAGTCTTTCCAGAGGCCCCAAAGCTAAAGAATTTAGAAAGATTTATGTATGTCACTAAAGGGTTTTAAAAATGTGTGGCGTACATGCTGTTAATTTTTAAGAATTTCATCATGGAGAAAAACCTCTGCTTTTCCAATATATTTGTCTCACATCACTGCCTTTGAACTATATCAAAAAATCTCACCATTTCTTACCACCCCCACTGCTACCCCAATGGTCCATCCCATCAACATCTTTTACCTTGGACTACTGCAATTGGTCTTCCAATGACTCCCCTTCTCACCCTGCTCAGGGTATAAGATTGTTTTTTTTTTTTCCTTAAGAGATAGGGTCTTGCTCTGTTGCCCAGCCTAGAGCGTAGTAGCACGGTCATAGCTCACTGCAGCTTTGAACTCCTGAGCTCAAGCAATCCTCCAGCCTCAGCCTCCCAAGTAGCTGGGACTACTACAGCTACACATCACCATGCTCGGCTAATTTTTCTTTTTTTTATTTTTTGTAGAGACAGCGTCTCACTACGTTGGCCAGGCTGGTCTGAACACCTGCCCTCAAGCAATCCTCCCTCCTCGACCTCCTGAAGTGCTGAGATTACTTACAGGTGTGAGCCACTACGCCTGGCCAAGATTGTTCTTATAATGCACTAAAATTCCCTAGGTGAACTGGGCCTCCATGTTCTCTCTGACATCATTTCCTACTATCATCCTTATTCACTATGCTCTAGTTGCACTGCCCTCTGTAAGGTTTCCTCCTTAAGGCCTTTACTCGAATTGTCCCCTCTACCTGGAAAGCCCTGCTCTTTGCTCAGATACATGGCTAACTCATTCACCTCCTTCAAAACTTTGCTCAAACGTCATCTTTTCACCTACCCTATATAAAACTTCAATCAGCTCCCCAAATTTTACACAATTGATCCTTTTTACTCTCATCTACTTTTCCTATAGTATTTACTACTTTTTAACAAATAACAAATATTGTATAATTTACCTAATTCTCTTTACAGTTTATTGTCTGCCTTTCCCCATGAGAATTTTGTGTTTTGTTCACTGATGTATTCCAAACACCTTGAAGGGACTCAATAAATATTTGCTAAGTACCTTTTCTCCCCTCACATTTATATTGTCTGTCTTAAAAACATATGTATTTGCCTGTATGTGCATAAAAACATCTCTGGAAAGATGCTTCAGACATCACTGGTTGCTCTACAGAGGTGAAGTAAATAGCTAGGAAATTGGTGGGAGTGAGATTTCATTGTTTGTTCTCATTTCTTTCAAAGTTGGAACCATCTGAATGGGAGTGACAAATAAGGGCAGTTTCTAAGAAGAGTACCCACATTCAGGATGTCAACTATAAGTGCTTGCTATACACTTCCAGCAAGTAAATAAAATCAATTGTAACACTCTAAGCCATTCCCTTTGTAATTACAGATTCCAGATATAAAATGACCATTACTCATTATAAAAACCTGTGCATACAATATAATTTTAATTTTTATTTTATTCAGAAAGATGCATGAAATAAAAGAACATTGCAACTTCATTAAATTACTAAAGAAACAAATAAGATTCTTACCTCTATTTTCTCTTTTAATGTTTTAAACATGGATAGTATAACATATTCTTCTTCTACCTGATGAACTTCTTCTCGACTAGGCCAAATGTCATGCAAGTAAATGTTTTTGCCAGCAGGGTCAGTACCTGGTTAAAAAATTTGAACATGATACTCAGTGTAAAAATAACTCCTTCAAAACGTTCGCAACTTTTCAAAGACATACCACAGAAACCAAGTAAATTATTCAGCAACAGGATGCTTCAGGCTTAAGCAGCTGGAAGAACTAATTACTTGCATTTTATTTTCTTCACATGAACAGAGAAATTAATAACTATGCATTATCACAAGTTTTCCTGAAATAATTCAAAGAATAGATGGTCTAAGAAACAGTTAAAAAATATAGCAACTTCTGGGGGGAAAAGTGTGTGTAGGTACACGTATATGTAAAGGAAAAGATACCTAAAGGCTCTGTCTGGAAATCTATATTCACTGTGCCTGCTATGGCATAAGCTACCACTAAGGGTGGAGAGGCAAGATAATTGGCACGAACACAATCACAAAGGCGACCTTCAAAATTTTTGTTTCCAGATAAAACTCCACAGGTAACCAAATCACCCTGAAAAAAAAAAAAAACACACATACAAATATGTTCAATCCAAGAGATGGTACAAATTTGGATAATCATGTATAAGCAATATCAAATATTACAGTCTGAGGGCTAGACAATCAAAAAACACATTACTAATTTTTAGATATAGAACTATCAATCCTGTAAATAAACTAAAAAAAAAAACCAAAAACCCCAAAACTAATTCCTTATATTATTCAGGAATTATTTCAAGGATCTAGAAATGATTCTTTGAATCATTTTAACATTTACAAGTCACTCTACCCAAGAGGTAGAAAGACTATGGAAATATAAATACATCAATATATATTTTCTATAATTTAATAACAAAACATAGTTAAGAAAATTTAGATGTCTTGCCGATCCACACATTTTACCTGTTTTACTGCACTTAAAACTGCGTCTGATAAGGGTGCTGTATTTCCCACACACGTTGAACATCCATAGCCAACTATTTCAAATCTGCATTTCAAAAAACAAATGTGATTGGATGGCACATCACAACATTTATAAAGAAAGGACAAATTTTGTCTTTTGCAATAAGGTTATTGCATCATTGCAATAACGTTACTTAAAAGAATATTCATGACACATGGATTAACCTTCATCGATACATTCATTTTCACATTTTAGCAATCAAGTCTAACTCTCAGGCATGCTATTTGTAGTGAATACAAACCTTTCAGAGAGCCTTGACATTTAGGACATTTGCTGTTAGGTCAATAGCACCTATCATACACTGCACAAGAAAATTTCTCAAGTACTACTTGCTAGGAATATAAGATGACCTTTTAAAAAATTGATATTGGACTTCCATCCAAATGGGTTTAAACTGTAAAGTATCAAAAGGATCTGACTGTAATAATCTGACCAAAGGACTCAAAAGAGGCATTGTAACTGGGCACCCTGATAGGAGTAAATCTTTCAATTCTCAACCAACTAAACCCAAGAAGAGTCCCTGACTATGATTCCCAGATGATATAACTAAAAGATTAGAGGTATAATCCTCTAAATTACTTTCAGATGCTGTCCTAAAAGCAAATAATCCAAAATTTATCAGTTTCGCAAAGGAATTGATGATATATGTAAGATAATCCAAAATGTACACTGAAAACACAACTAATATCAATTATTGCTTTTGATTACATAAAAAATATGAAAGTTATTTTCTTCAAAGTCCAGGGACAACTTAACCTATGTATTATAAATCTAATACCTCACAAAACCTCAATTAAGACAATTTACTCAATAAATACAATCTATAAGATTTCATTCTTTTCTGAACTGATCTATACAACTCATGAAAATTATGCACTACTTGGTACCATCTCTTTTACTATCTTTCATTGTTACTTGGTTTTACTAATTTTACTAGTGAGCACCAACTAAGTATCCTGAAGCTAAGATCATATCTTGTAAGTAGCCAACACAGCACCTTGCTCACTAGATATACCCAATAAATATTTGCTGAGTGACAAGGGCTCAAAGATTGCATGACAATAGCAAGGTAACAAATACAGCTAAAGTATATTTTTCCTATCTTCTCTTTGTATATGAAAGGCCCCAATAAACAGCATCAACACTTACTGAATACAATGTCAATAAAAATAATAACTGTCACTTACCCAAGCTTACTAAGGTATGGTAATACTCCACTTGAACTGAGGTAATGTGTAACCATCCCACTGCCTGGAGATAAACTTGTTCTTATGTAAGGTTTAACACGCAGACCAGCTTCAACAGCCTTTTTAGCCAAAAGACCTGCACAGTCAACAAACAATGATTTTTTTATGGCAATGTTTCTTTCCTTCTTTCACTCATACTAACGTAAGAGGTGAAAAAGGTCTATTTATCAGTAATAGATAGGTCTCCACTTCAGACTGGAACAAAAGTCCAAATTTACAAATTTACTGTCATTATTTTATCCATTTTATCTATTGATTTGCTTCATTTAAAATAAATTAAAAATTGTAGTAAATATATCAGCCTTTATGTTGTAAATTAATAAGGTGCAGGCTGACATCATTGCGTCACTCACACAAATGGAAAATAAGGATGCACATAGAGAGCGGATATTAACTGAACCATTTTTTTTTTTTTTTTTTTTTTTTGAGACAGAGGCTCACTATGTTGCCCAGGCTAGAGTGCCGTGGTGTCATCTTTGCTCACAGCAACCTCAAACTCCTGGGCTCAAGCGATCCTCCTGCCTCAGCCTCCCGAGTAGCTGGGACTACAGGCATGTACCACCATGCCCGGCTAATTTTTTCTATATATTTTTAGTTGTCCAATTAATTTCTTTCTATTTTTAGTAGAGACGGGGTCTCGCTCTTGCTCAGGCTGGTTTCAAACTCCTGAGCTCAAACAATCCGCCCACCTCGGCCTCCCAGAGAGCTAGGATTACAGGTGTGACCCACCGCGCCTGGCCTTGAACCATTTTTTAATGCCATAATCACACTAAACTAAGGGCAATTTAAAACTTACTATATACAGTTTTATACAATTAATGAATTGTTCCAATGTGTATAAAAATAGATTTCATTTATAATCTTTGTCAATACAATGATTTTTTACTTCTTTTATAACTCTCAATGAAATCTAGCAGTTATCGCCAACTTCTAGTAGATAATCAAGAAATACCTGCTAATTAACTATACACACTTCTAAATTAACAGAAGCAGATGTGACCTAAAATTAATAGACATGTAAGTTATAATAAAAAAAAAATTACCTTCTATGTAATAAAAACAAAATTAGCAACATAAGTCAAACTTAAGACCTAATAAAAATCTTAGGAAGTCTCTGAATATCAAATGTTAGCTACTGATATTCATGCATAATCTAAGAAACAGAAAGTGAATAAAACAGAAAGCATATGATAATTTAGGGGAAAAAAATATATGGCCATAAACCACAACCTACCTGCAGCAAGCATGACAGATGGATTACAATTATTGGTACAACTGATAACTGCAGCAATGACCACTGATCCATGAGACAGCTTATATTCACTTCCTTCGTAATGAATAGAGACGATATCATTTTGTTTTTCAGCTGCAATTTGGAAGCCTTTAAATCCAACCTATACAAATTTGCGTGTAAATATAAATGAAATATTCTGGATAAGTATAGGAAAAAAAATCTGGTAGAAATACAACAGACACTTGGCACTGATGATTTAACGTTCAAAATTCCAACTGTGAGTGATGCTGAAGGCCTGTAACGTTCAATAGTTGTAATTTAACTAAAGCATGAATTTGAATAGTTACAATGGGAGTCTGGTGGTGTTCAGAAGCAAAACTTCCAAGTGAGTTCAGCCAACTATCCAGAATCCAGATCTTATTTGGATTTGCTGTCTTTTATCCATTTCCACTTACAGTAATTCTCAAGAGATGGTACAAACTTTTTTTCTATTAAAAATGGCCCTCAGGATTTGCTCCAAAATGATCCTATGTGTGTCGGTGCAGTATAGATGAAACACAATAGGCTGTGAGTTGGTAATTACTGAAGCTGGATGATAGCCATACGGCAATTCATTACACTATTTTCCTTCTGTACAAGTTTAACATTTTCCAAATAAAGAGTCAAATCATAAAAAGGCTATGATAAGAAGGGCAACTACTAGTTCTCATTATAGAACAGAGAAAGTGATGAGATTGACGCCATGATTCTCAGACAGAAAACACAAACCCTAAAAATCCAGAGATCACTTACATTTTACCAAATTTTATAAGAGTAATTACAGTGTCGTAGTTTTTTTCCTAGTCTAGGAAATTACAAAAGACTAGAACAGCGGTATCTAATAAAACTCCCTGTGATGATGTAAGTATTCAATACCTGTTCTGTCTAATACAAAAGCCATAGTCACATGTTTCTATTCAGCACTCGAAATGAGGCTACTGTGACTAAGAAACTCAATTTTAAATTTTATTTAATTTTAATTAGCTTATATTTTAATTTAAATAGATACAATCAAACTCCGATTCTCACACTAGAAGCGGAAATAACTCACCAAATGACTGACTTGCACATCAGACAGCAGGAAAATAAGGGGGCTGCTGGTGTGTGCCATAATATATAAAATATAGCAGTGGATTGAGTTCCTGGGTCACCTTGTTGGTTCTTTATTACTTAACACAAAGCATATTGACCAATAAGGATAGCAATAAAGAAACCTGCCTTTTCATTTAAGCACGCCTGGAAATCACCTTTCATATCTGTCACAGCAACTCTATCCTGAGGTCTTTTTGGACCACTGACAGACGGAACTATGGAATTCAGATTAATCTGGATCACCTAGGAAATGTGAGAGAAGAAGAAGAGAAGGAATTAGAATTCCTAAGTACAAATTCCGATTTAAGCATAACTTTCTGACGCCGAATGAGTATATTCATTTATTTTAATGCAATCTGTTTTAATAGTGAAAATAAGGATTTTAAAATAAGTCCATTTAAATTTATGAAATATAACATGAAAATTTGCTAAGAGCAAGACTAGCGGATCAGTATATAACCAAACTACTACAATACTAATTGTATTCTCTACATAAAATCTCTGGTTTCCCAAGTATGTTTTTTCCCACAAAGATAAACACTGTCTTAACAAATGTCCAATGACAGAGTAGATGCCGATGCCAGCTATCAACTTATTGCCTCCGAGCGCCAAATTCACCTTCCTTGCCTGCTCTGTGATCACGGAGGCGAGCGGTTAGTGAGCCCTTCTCCTTTCTCCTTCTGCGTGCTGTGAAGCCCGGCCACCAGAGGGTGCTGGCGGCATACAGCAGAAAGAGCTTTCTCTTCCTGGTTCCGGAAGTCCTGCTGGCCAGACTCCTACAGATCAGGCTTTTATTCCTTGGTTAAAAAATCATATTTTGTTAAAATCCCACTTCCCAACTAGGTTTCTATTTATTTCTTCTGCTATTTCTACTATTTCCTTTGTGAATTTTATGTGGCTATAGCCAATTTGAAACTTTCTCTTCACTATAGTTTTCATTATTATTTAACAGCCATGTTTATTCTGACCGACCCTAACTACCTTTCTTATACTTTCACTGAATGGATTCAGGTGATGCTAGTCTTTGCCCTCAAGTATGCATTTAAGGAAGTTCTCCTGAAATCCATGTCCTGATGATTTTAGTTTTATTTCTTAATACAGTCAGGGTATTTTAACCGGCAAATTTATTTCATTTTATTCTACCACTCGAGTTTTTCCATCTAATATTTCTTATTCTTTTCAATATGTCTTTTTTAAAAATGTGGACAAAGCACTACATTCAATAAATAGAGGTGAAAACAATCAGAAAATGATCAGAGAAGTTAAAAGTGTCACACAAATCCAATTCCTACGGTTCTATACTAGCTCTTCAATATATCTATATGTATTCATTTATTCACCTAACACATTTACTGAATATTTACTATATGCCAGGCACTGTTCTAAGGAGCTGGGGATATAATACTGAACAAAACAAAGTTCCTGTCTGCATGGAGCTTAATTGTATTCTAGTGCGGGAAAGACAAACGAGTGTACCAATTAACGGATAATGTCAGGTAGGAACATGCTGTGAAGAAAAACAAAGCTGGGCAAGAGAACAGATTTCCCCACAAAAAAAATAGCTTAACAGTTAACCAAACCCATGATAACACCAAGTTATAGATCCTTGACATATTCCTAGAAAATGAATTTTACTAAAGTTAAAATTTTCCTGAAGGTGATTTCTGCCTATTTCAATATAAATTTCCAACAAATAAGAAATATTTGCTAAAATAATTTTAAAACTAACATTTAAGACCACATAACAGGATATCTCCTTAACAGTGGAATTTTGCAAAATACAGTCATAAACCACATACAGACATAATCAAAATTATTTTGGGAGAGATAATATAGTACTCTTATCATAAAGTAGGAAAAAAATGAGAGCAAGAATTAAGAGTTAATATTATGTTTTAAACACTAAAAAATGAGACTTCATAAAATGTTACAAAATTCATAATAAAAATGTAAAATTAATGAATAAAAGGACTGGGCCACAAATGCATTTCTAAAATAATAACCACCCCTTCTTAAGCACTCACTATGTGCCTGGAACTGTCCTATGAATTTGTATTTAATCTAAGAATTCTATGTTTTATATGATTGTCACATTTAAGAGATGAAGAAACTGAAGCAGAAAGGCTAAATAAATTGCCAAAGGTTATGCAGTTAATAAGTCTCAGAGCTGGGATTCAAACCTAGGTGGTCAGGCTCCAGAATTTACACTCTTAACTACTACTAGATGGCTTAATTTGCATATACCTGGGAGTATTCAGGTTCTCCTGAAGAATTCTGATCATTTCGAAACAATTTCACAGCTTTAAGGTATGTTTCCATTGATTCGAGTTTAGCTTTGTCGAAACCTAAAAAAAAAAAAAATGATGAACAAAGCAAAATCCAGTAAGGAATTTTGAAATCTTTGGGGGAAAGGGTCCTGAATTCCAGTGGCGAGCAAGAAACAAGTTACTTGTATATTTATTTACATTTCTCTTTCTCACTCTCCTTACTCTTGAGAATCTGCCATCTGAGAGAGCTACATGGAGAAGCCACATGTGGGTGTTTAGCCTGACAGCCCTGGCCAAGTCCCCGGCTGACAGCACACATTCACTGTTAGACAGGTGAGTGGAACAAGCCTTCAGGATTCCAGGCACCAGCTTTCAAATCTTGCAGTTGAGGCCCAGGCTTCATGAAGCAGAAACAAGCTGTCCCCACTGTGCCCTGTCTGAATTACTGAACCACTGAAACTGTGAGGCAATAATTATTGCTGTTATAAGCCGCTAAATTTTAGGATAATTTGTTACATAGTAACAGATCACTAATACTTTAACTCAGGTAAATATGCAAGGAATAAGGTACCTCTAAGCATTTCTCTTTAATGTTCTACCAATCAAAATTCAGAAGTTTTGCATTTCATGGGGACCATTCCCTCCAGGGATCCATATGACCAGTTAACCACTTTGTCATTTGATTCATTAACTTATAATAATTTCTCCCCAAAGTGAAGAATACTAGTATATATCCCCCCCAAATATCTATGATTAGACGCCTTATGAAATAGCGACACATTCTAGTTTTGCAGGTACTTTCTATTTTAAGTTAAACAATCAACAGAAGATCATAGTTCTTAGTAATCAGGCTACAAAAAGATTTGGAACCTGCAGGCCTATGCTGCTTTTTGCAAAATTATGTGCTTCTTGTTCTTTAGCTAGAACAGTGATTCCCAAGTCCTTTTGTCTGGTGGCTCCTCTACTCCTGGATGTGGAAGGGAACAGCTGTGAATATGCTCAAGGCTGACTTCCATTAAACTGTAACCTCTGATCCTTAAGAAAGGGCAGAGGTATCCATCATTATGGGGGAAAAGTGAAATGAGGATCAGGGGTCTGAATAACTCCTTTAAATTGCTGTCAGTGGGTTACAGGGAACTAGGGTTTGAGAAGACAACACTCTTCAGAGACATCTGATACAGTTGGAGAGCCACTGTTTAAAAAGAAGATAATTTCACAAATACTAAATAACATGTATAAGGTAGTAATTTATTATAAAATATTGTCAGGCAGATACACTGGAAATGTAACACATTTATTTTAATGATTTTTTATCTTCTTACCTGTATGTTCTAAATGTTTTAGTGTCACATTGTCAACAGGGAAAAAGCTGAGGATAGCACCATATTCTGGACACATGTTTGTTATTGTAGTTCGATCAACTACAGACAATTGTGAAACTCCACTTCCAAAAAACTCAACAAACTTTCCAGCCACTCCTACTTGCCTGAGGTGCTACATAAAGAGATACACAGAAACACACACAAAACCAGCAATGACAAGATTAGCATGGATTTCCTGAAAACTATAAAATCTAATTTTTAACCAACACTGGTGATGGCGAAGGAAAAAGATACTTCACTGCTCTTATTAAATATCAACTCATTCTGGTTTCGCAGGTATTTTAAGACAAATAGTCAACAGGAGAGTGGTCCAATGTCACTGTTTATCAGGGTGCAGTGGTTTGTGCCTGTAATCCCAGCTACTCAGGAGGCTGAGGCAGGAAGACTGCTTGAGCCCAGGAGTTCGAGGCTGCAGTGAGCTACAATCATACCACTACTCCACTCCACTCCAGCCTGGGCAGCAGAATGAGAGACCCTGTCTCTCAAAAAAAAAAAATAAAAAAGGAAACAAAGAAAGAGGGGAGGGGGAGAGGGAGGGAAGAAGGGCCTGAAAACTCAAGATGGCTATGATTCACATTTTACCATCTCTGAAATCAGAATACACCTTAGACTCAATGGCATGTCTGTTTAGCTGACAGTCCTTTTTCTGTCTTAGCAGTACATTAAACAGTGGTGCTTTTAACCACTGGTGGCATCTTATACTTAATGAAATACTAATATACTGATGAAACTGTATTTAAATAAAAATTACATACTAGCTAAAAAAATTCTTCAAATTACAACTACTGGCCCAAATATTTACAGCAACAATAATTACAGGTAATTTCCAATTTATTAGAATTTTTATAACACGTTGTTTCAAACTTATTTCCTTTTAAAATTATTTTTCTTAGTTACTATCAAGTAACCCAAACAGCTACTCATCTTTTCTAAATTGAAAAATGGGTATTAGGAAAGTGCCTAGGGAGGTAAGTAAGAGTGAAACTACCCTCAACCTGTGAATAATATTAAGTCCTAACATTTTAGAGGTGCTAGGTAGTATTTAACTCTTTTTTATAGATACAGAAACTCAAACCTTAAAGATATTTCTTTGTATTTATGGTTATAGTTTTAAAACTGAGAGAAATACAGATTAGACACACAAAGTCAAATGCTGCTTTTATCAAATTAATGACATACCACAATATTTACATTTTGGAAAAAAGTACATGATTAATCCTATAAAGATCACGAATAGAATAGGACCTCAAAAAAGAAGCAATAATATATTCAGTAAATGCAAACATACATAATTTTTTGTAACAATAAGCTAAAATGTCAAAAACACAGTAATGTTGTTAAGAAAAAACAAAGTGAGAGAAGTCTAAAAAGCAGCATTAATTTTCAGGATGTTCGTAGTAAAGAATTGATTTCTCTAAAAACATAATGGGATATTCCTTTTCCTTTAGGAATAATCCTGCAATTCCCAGTTTAACTTCTTGATCTTTTGGTACCATACACTGAATCAATCATTTCTTTAAGATGCCAATTTTTTTTCTAATTATGTAAGAAGGATCAATACTGAATGCTGAGGGAGGTATTATCATTTTCAGAGTACCCTGAAAGCCTTCAGACCAATAATCTAACCAAAAATATTGAGATGCTGGGATCCAAATTGGAATGATATGTGAAACACTTTCAACCAAAAAAATGGGACTTAATCATTAAAATAAAGTTAGTGAAAACCAGAAATTTGGGATGGAGAGTTACAAATAACTGTTCACTAGGAAACCCTTGAGCATATGTATTGATATGTTCAAGCAGCTCAGTCTATGTATTAAAGGCATGCAGCCAGTATTTTTAAAATTCAGAGAAAAAGTTTCTACATAATATTTCAAAGAAATGTTAAAACAGCAATAGAAAAACTTGACACATCACATTTCTACAGTCTGTATTTTTGAAAACATTATCTAGTAATGGTTTCTAATGGGCAAATACGTCAAAGAAAGGAGGCAGAATCAACAATTAAATATGATATTTAAAATTAATTCAGTCAACAAGTATTTACTGAGGTAACAAGGCATTGATAAAGCATAATGGTTAAGAGCATGGACTCAAGAACCCAACATACTGTTCAGCCCTATGATGCTCTGGTTAAGTTATTAAACCTGTGTCTCAATTTTCTCAGAATTAAAATGAGGACAGTAATGGTACCTTTGCCACAGGCTTGTTATGAGGAATAAATGAGATGACATATGTCAAGTGAATAATGACACGACAAATTTTTTGTACTTAGTAGTAAAAAGCAATTGTTATGTTTGCTGTTATTACTATGATGATAACTATAAAGACATGGCTAATGTCAGAGACCTGAGGATGCAGTAATGAACCAAAATCCTTGTTTTCATGGGGCTCCTCCACTTACATAATGTCCACTAAGTCATATACCTATCACAACTTTAGCTTACCTTTGTAATGCCAAGAACAACATCTATGGATGTAACAAAAGCATTTGACGACCCAGTTAACTCACATCCTACCACCTCTGGTAAAGTAAGAGAAACTGGCAGACCAAGCATAACTGCTTCTGTTTCAATGCCTCCAACCCCTAAAGTAATAAAGACAGGTATATTAGCACAGTGTATTTAAAGGTAATTTAAGTTATCCCTGTAACATCTACATCTCTAGGTGTTTCACAAGCTTGTCTTACATAGTATCTTATACAGAGTTGTTACATTGCTATTCATGTGGACATTGAACCCAAGCCTTCTCAAAAGGATGACTCTATTTGCATGGTTGGAAAAAAACTGATATTTTACCTTTATATTAAATTCAGTAAACATTTAGTGAGTATTTATGCTAGGCACTGTATTACGCTCAAGATACAGATATGAGTGGAACCTAGTCCCTGTCAACCTCAAGCAGCTCAGTCTAATGTAAAAGACAAAAAAAAAAAAAAAAAAAGAGAGATAGAGAGAAAGAAAATTAGCAATTATAACACCCGTAAAGAGTAAGTACCAGGCTGGGCGCAGTGGCTCATGCCTGTAATCCTAGCACTCTGGGAGGCCAAGGCGGGTGGATTGTTTGAGCTCAGGAGTTCGAGACTAGCCTGAGCAAGAGCGAAATCCTGTCTCTACTAAAAATCGAAAGAAATTAGCTGGACAACTAAACATATATAGAAAAAATTAGCTGGGCATGGTGGCACATGCCTGTAGGCCTAGCTACTCGGGAGGCTGAGGCAGGAGGATCGCTTGAGCCCAGGCCCAGGAGTCTGAGGTTGCTGTGAGCTATGATGATGCCACAGCACTCTAGCCCAGGCAACAGAGTGAGACTCTGGCTCAAAAAAAAAAAAAAAAAAAAAAAAAAAGTAAGTACTGAGTGGGGGTACATTTAACCCAGTGAGGGAAGCTAAGGCTTTCAGAAGACACCTGAGGTTAGTCTTGAAGGAGTTAATAGTAATCCCACATTTCAACAATAAAAGGGAAGGTCAGTAGCATGCATTCTGCCAGAAGAATCTATGCAAAGCCATGAGGTACAAGAGAATAGCCCACTCAGGTAAATAAATGGTTAGTCTCTAAGATGGGTGTGGGTGAATGGCCAAAGGGGTACCAGGTTGTGAAAGGAACATATAAAATGCTAAGGAATTTGTATTTATGAAGAAGGCCAGAAGCCTCAGAAGGACTTTAAACAAAGGAATAACCTTTGTAGACATCATCATCACTCAATTACTTCACAAATGCTAGTGCTGTGCTGGGCACTGTGCAAATTTCTATTCATAAATCCTCTTTTACCACACTGCTCACAAACCCTTGAATTAAGATTTTGTTGCTGTTGCTGCTATTACAGATGAAAAAAACGAAGCCTCAAAGGGGCCATAAAGACCCACTATTTATGTTCTTTTATAATGTTCTTCACATCCTCACCCCCAAAGAAATTAAATATATTCAGCCATTTACTTACCCCACCCCAGAATTCCCAAACCATTCACCATCGTTATATGTGAATCTGTGCCAACTACACTGTCTGGAAAGAGGAGGTTCTCTTCTTCAAAAACCACTCTTGACAAATATTCTAAGTTTACTTGATGAGCCATTCCAGTTCCAGGAGGGATTACAGCTACATTCTTAAAAACTCTTGAACTCCACTGCAGTTTGTTTAAATTTAAGAAATACATATGTTAGCATTTTATATGAATTTGTGCTCACAAGATATAAATATTGACACTAAAAATATTTTAAACAATGTTCAATATGGTAAATTAAGGTTGACATCATATACTTAAAAACAAGTATACAGATACTGAAACTAAATATATTCATTGTGCAGGCTATTCAAACAAAGTTAGGACAAATGAAAATGCTCAAATAGTCCAGATAAATGGCAGTAGTCAACAATGTTCTAAGGTTTCTCTGGGATGTGAAGAAAGTAAGGTCCAATGTACAAAAGGCTTGCCCTCCAAGGTCTCTTAAATTAGAGCCACTGTTTTCATCTTTCTTTATACACTGGGGTTTCCAATAAGATTTCATAAGAAGGAACAAAAGAGTTCTACTACTATAAAGCCTTTAAATACCACTAAAGATATAAAAATTGTACCTATCAACATTTTATAAATTTCAATGCAAAATTTTTCCTAATCATTTATACCTTGAAAAATTGAAGCCTCTCTCGATTTCTGCCAAATTCTACTTCTTGATTTTTTAACACTGTTTCAGGTCTAAAAGAAAGAAGAGCTGGCATTAAATACGGGTATTACAAAAGAAGATTCGCCTTGTTTCTTTCTAAGTCATCATTTTATGTGGAAATATATACAAACATATTCTTAAAATCCTTGGAAGAACAATTTACTAGCCTTCTCAGGATTGTTTTTTTCAACAAGTTCTGCTTTAAATAACACATTAGAAAGCTATGGAAAGCAGTTATTATTTTACTACTGAGTATAATAAAGCCACATTCACACCAGTGTACAAAATTGTACAAAATCATTAGTAAAAATAAAATAGTAAGCTTTGATGGGTTTTCCAATGCAAGAAAAAAGGAGGGTAGTAGCTTATTAAAAAATGAGCATGTTTTTTCCTCCCCACTTGACTCCTGTGCCAGTTAAACGAGATGAGTGTTGACTGACATCTCAACATCATTTTATAGTTTAAAAAAAGCTTCTGGCAAAATCTTTTATTCATCTCACCCCAAATGGAAGGCTCTATATTATGTATAAGTAGTAGTTTACTTTACACAGATTATAAAGACATTTTACATGAATTATTTAAACTAAGAGACAAAAACAACTCATCTCTAAGCAGTAAACATACTACCAATTTTAGAAAACGATTTTTATCTAAGGGATATTTTAAAAAAAATTATTTCAAACAGCTTTGTTTATTTCCCTGCCAGATGGTGATTAAGTGTCGACGAGAATGTCAATATAACTTAAATTATACATGTCCTCCAGGGTCCAGATAATTATAGTTGTTTAATTGTCAACTTTTTTCTTTTCTTTTTTTTTTTAACAAAGATTGCTTTAATAATTCATGGCTGAGTGATCTCTTGAAGCTAAGCACATCTTGGTGCGATTTTTCTCAGGACCTCAGGGAACACAGCTTTCAAGAGCCACTCCCAATTATTCTACCTTTCCATAGCACTTATGGCTACAAAGTATCATACAAACATTTATTAGCTCATAACCTCATTTCAAATCAGGTAGTAATTTCAAGTGCCAAATGTTAAGCTCTCACCTTTCTACCCCTCAATTTCTTGTTTAAGTCTATAATTAATATTTCATTGATGCATTAAAGAACACAAAAGAGTTACTATTTTCACATAGCCAGGGACTATAATATAACCTATCCTAATACTTTGTAATTTAGAGTCAAAATTGAGGGGAAATGTTACACCACATTGGATTTTTAGAAATAAAAATATACCACTAAGCACTTCACACTTTGCCAATTATAAAGAACTCATAGACCACACTAAATTCTTAGAAAGGAAGAGCACATGATGAGGTCACTATCACCTGAGGCTTTATAAAAATACTGAGCCCCAAATTTTAGAACTAGAAAAATCTAGTTGGGAGACAAAGGAAATAGTGTATTATTTGGCACTTAGAATAAATAAGAGTGGATATTATTCTCAGCTACTCTAAATCTTAAATGTGTTAAAATTTTTAAACCTAAAGTATAAGTCATTTTTTATTAAATAAAAAAAAAATTGACAGTCTATTAACAATGGGATAAACAACATAACTCACTTAAAAATAAGACTGGAAACTTTATAGTATATAAAAATTCAAGATACAGAACTTTTTTTGTTTTGAAAAATTATCTAGAAGAAAATCTAGCCAAATCCTAAGAATAAAATTCTTTTCTATGTATGTTCACTATTATACTTTCCATGGTACCATATAGGAAGTCACTCATTTGAAAGGGCCTATTAGATTTGATAATAATTATATTCTTAACATAGTGCTCTTAAATACAATAGGAAAAAATAAAAAACCCCCTGGTAGGAAAAAAAATACTAAAAATACACATAGGGAATTCACAAAAAAAATATGAATGACTAGTGAGCATATAAATGGTACAAATGCACTAAAATATTCACAATTTAAAATGAGACTCTGTTTTTCTGCCTGCATTAGTCATAAAAATGAAATATATTTACAGATAAATTATAAGGAAGGTTTGCTTCCTAAAGAACAGAAAAACAGAGAATAGTATTTAGAGACTACCATGTTAATTAAATTTGCTTCAGTAAAATAGGAAATACGTATAAAAATGCAACCCAGATTTTATATGAAGGTAATGTAATAAGAATTGAGTGGGAAGGAGAATAAATCTGATTTCCTTAACTGCAAAATAACCGGGCACTAATAAATATTAACAAAAACAATTTCATACTCAGGCACTGGTTGCAAATGAAAAGGACACAGGATGGGTGTATTCTCAATCTGCGAAGAAAATGTTCCTGAGTTTCGACCTAGTTCTCCAGAATCACATGATCCTCGGCAGGTAGTCTGGCCTCTGCAGGGAAGCTTCTTAGGCTGCACTTTAAGTGGAGAGAGCTTTCCTGCTTTCTGTAGGTCACCACCTCCAGGATTTGGCGCATTCTGTATTGCACTATCATTCCAAAAAGGAAACAAAATAAAGTCATTTAAAGTGACAGAAATTTAGCTCTTCAAAAAAATGTACACTATTAATAGCAATGCTATCTGGAAGTAACTAAATGATGTTCAGAAGCTAATATATCATTTTACTCGGGTTTCAAAATCAAATCTTAGATTACAAAAAAAAAATAGAAACAGGTAATTAACATTTATAGAGATGAAAACGTAATTCTAAGTGTCTAATAAGATCATTTTCATGTACTCTATACCAATTTAAATAACTTTTAGCAAGTACCAAAATAGATTTTTTTCCCCACCTAACAACTTAAAAGAAGCTCAGAGCTACAGTTTAATCTAGAGGGCAAAATCTCTCATGGGTTGCAATAAATTTCAGTCTTTCCACCACTCCAGGGAATGCAAAAGCAAGCTGATGTACGATAACAGAAATATGTCTTCTCTAGGATGATTTTGGTCAAAAGGGCCTTATAAATTCTAAGAAACTTTTTTCAGTGGAAGGAAAACAGCTTTAGTGAGCTTGGTGTTTTCTATCACCAATTAATTAAAGAAATTCATGGCTCACATCATTCTGAAAGGTAAATAGGTTAAAAAACAAAAAAGAAATGAAGACTGAATTCAGATGTTCACTCCAAAAAGCAGACTTTAGGTTTTTATATATTTTTTATCAAAAATGGTGGTAGAAATACACAAATGTGAAAATAACTTTAAACTCAGACTGAGTACAAAAAAATGTCACCAATCCATAAACTTTTCACCAGGCTTTCTTTTTATACACTGGTCAATACTAAACATAGCACACTTTACTCCGGCATTATCTTTTACTCCTTTTCCTCTACACACGTCCGATGGGTTGGTTACCAGTTAACTTGCATGGCTACAAATATCTGTATTGAAGTACCATTTACTGAAGTCAATTTGTAAAGAATGGTCAACTGTAAGATCGGTTGGACAGGCAGGATGGACTTTCTTAGGATCACCTCCAAGAATTTTCACTGCCTCTCTCATAGCAGCAAAATCCACCATTGCCGGTATTCCACTAAGAAATAAAGAATGATCAAATTATAGTTCTAGTTATTTTTATATATGCTTAATAAAAGATTAACATGTACTCTTATTCATTTTATATTTTAAAAGTATCCCTTTAGTTTACATTCATTCATTTTTAATAACATACTTACATTATTCAAAATTAGATGCATCCTGGTTTAATGAGAATTAACATTAAATATTGTGACAACTTGAGTGCTCAGGGGCAGATGTGCCAAAAATCAAGTAAGAGATGATTTTTGGAGGCATAGTGAACTTTATGGGAATTGTCTGTGGCATTCTTTTTTTTGTCTTATATTTCTTGATGCCCCTCTTCCCTTTTCCCTAGCTCCAGCCCCTTTCCCTCAGTGCCTTTTTGCTACCCCAAAGCTATCCACAGTAGCTTTTGACATTTTACATTCATCCATCCACATATCCAGCCAACTACATAATAAGCATTTACCAAATGCCTTCAGTGTGCTAGACACTGATGGTATAAGGCCACATAAGACATAGTTCTGGTTCTCAAGGAATTTGTACGGCAGATAAAGTTTGCAGAATGGTATCATAAGTACTATTAATAGCAGCATACAGAGTATACAGAGCAGTGGCCAACAAACCAGACTTGGGTGGGTGGCTGGGTAAAGTGGATGTTCTAGCCAACTCCTTTACTTCCTTCCAAACCCAGCTCAAGGTTAACTCTTCCAATAAATAAAACCTGGACACCCAGATCAGACAAAGTCTTTCAGGCTGTGGTAAAGACTATGGATTTTATTCTAAGTGTAATGGATGCCAACTGGCTCATGGAGGAATGATATGACTTGATTAAACATTTTTAACCAACTCACTCCAAATCCTGTGTGAAGAAGAGATTATTGATCCCAAATGTGAAAGTAAGGATAAGAAAATATTTGCAGTTTTAGTCTGGGTAAAAGAGAATGGGCCTAGAACCAGGATGACAGGGGCAGAGATGGTAAACCGACAAAACTTGCTGATAGACTGGTTACAGGATATTTAAAGAAAAAGAAAAATCAAGGCTAACTCCTAGATTTGGGGCCTAAACAAATGGGAAACTATGGTGCCATTTACTATGACAAAGATGACTCAGAAAGAAATAGGCGAGGTGACATGGCCCAGGCCATGGAATGGGGAAAGGAATTTGGTTCCCCGACACAGATTCTAGCTGCGTAACCTTGGGCAAGTCATGCATCTTTCTGTGCCTCTAGTCCTTTTCTAGAAATGGAGATAGTATGGAATTTATTTGGATGGGTGACTGATCATGTGATTAGTGCCTTGCATGTTCTATTATTAAAGAAGAATGACACATTAGTTAAGAGCACAACTTTGGTGCCAGACTGCCTGGATTGAGTTCTGGCTTTACCATTCCCAGCTTTGTGACCTTGGACAAACTATTTGACCTCTCTGTGCATCTACAGTTTCAGTAAGGAGTCTACCAGTGAACAAACAATATGTAAACAAATAATAACCAAGACTCCTAGAGCACGTATGTTTCAGGCACCGTTTAAAGGGCATTACATGTGTGAATGCAGTCTACCCTCATGATGGTAAGGCTAGTACCATTTTATAAATGAGGAAACCAAGGCACAAGGAAGTTAAGTAATATGCCTAGGCTCATGCAACTAGTAAGTTAGAGCCAGGGCATGCTGTCTATCTACAATACATGTTGGCTGTTATTATGAATTACAATAACAATCTCTCCCCTCTTCCCCCCAAAAAGAAACAGGTGAGGTGAGGTTGACAATCAAGAAATCGAATTTTGGACATATTAAGTTTGAGAAACTTATCGGTTATGCAGAGATCATAAGCAGGCAGTTAAGCAAAAGCAGTTTTTGAATAAATAGTCTAAGATACAGGTACCTAATTTTTAATGAATTGCTTCTGTTTAGAAAGGGCAATTTTTAAAATTTTATAAACTAACCTTCAAAATTAAAAATAGAGCCATCTATCAGGGAGTCTAAATTTTAATAAGCAGGCAGTTAAGCAAAAGCAGTTTTTGAATAAATAGTCTAAGATACAGGTACCTAATTTTTAATGAATTGCTTCAGTTTAGAAAGGGCAATTTTTAAAATTTTATAAACTAACCTTCAAAATTAAAAATAGAGCCATCTATCAGGGAGTCTAAATTTTAAAAAGGAAACACTGCAAAAATTCATTCATGAAAAATAAACCTATTACTCACGTAAAATCTTGAAGAAGAACACGGGCAGGGAAAAAGGGCACTTCAACATTGCTTTGTTTGGTTTTCCAGTCTAAAATGTTCATAACATCTTCCTTTTTCATTAAAAAGTCATCACAATTTCGTACAGCAGCTTCCAACAGGACCCGTATTGAGTAAGGCAGAACGTCTGATTCAAGAGAAAATATTACTATTAATAAGGGACAATAGTAAAAAGTTAAAGACAAATATGCCTTGTTTTCTCAATTTAAAAAATTCACTTTTTATTCTAATAAACATGGAGTATAAAACCGTTTTTGTAACATCAACTTTCCTATACATGAGCCCAAGGCCCTGAAAAGGCAGAGATAAAAGCCTTCACACAAAGTTGCATTAATTTGGGAATATCAGACTAGAACCATGACAAATAAATACTTGACACAGTCAGGAAATTCACAGAAAAATTGAAAAGCACGGAATATTCTACTTAAATACAATAACGAAGACATCCTTTTGTACAGCAAAAAATGGCTAAACTGTATAAAAGTTTGTAATAAATTTAAAAGATGTCCATCAAGAATGGTTAAAATTTAGGCCGGGTGTGGTGGCTCACGCCTGTAATCCTAGCACTCTGGGAGGCCAAGGCGGGAGGATCGCTTGAGCTCAGGAGTTCGAGACCAGCCTGAGCAAGAGCGAGACCCCATCTCTACTAAAAATAGAAAAGAAATTAAGCTGGCCAACTAAAAATATATAGGAAAAAAAAAATTAGCTGGGCATGGTGGCACACGCCTGTAGTCCCAGCTACTTGGGAGGCTGAGGCAGGAGGATCGCTTGAGCCCAGGAGTTGGAGGTTGCAGTGAGCTAGGCTGACGCCACGGCACTCTAGCCTGGGCAACAGAGTGAAGTTCTGTCTCAACAACAACAATAACAAAAAAAGAGTGAATGAAAGTTTTCATGAAATGAATTTCACTCACCTAAGCATTCCAATTTACTTTTAAACTTTAACCATTTTTTTTCGTTGTTGTTGTACGAAAAAAAAAAAAGAGTGAATGAAAGTTTTCATGAAATGAATTTCACTCACCTAAGCATTCCAATTTACTTTTAAACTTTAACCATTCTTTTTTGTTATTGTTATTTATTTAGGACCCACTAAGAGGCAGGTATTGGGTGAGTTACATACATTATCTCATTTAACCCTTAAAGTAAACCTATAGGTAGATATTCCAGTAGAAGGGCTGTAACAGCAGAGAGTAAACTAGCAGATGCTAAGAAATGGACGCACGCTCTGGTTTGGTTTTTGGCAGCACTAATTTTACACCCCCACTTTGGAACAGACACAAAGTTCAGGAAGGCCCTTAATCTCTTTCTTCTTCCCTGTTCTCCCAGGCCCACCTCCACATACACTCTGATGCTCCAACTACACCATCTGCAAAGTTCCCTAAACTTGAAGACCTTTCTGATCCCACTCTCACCACAGCGACTTACTTTCTCCCTTACCCGTCAGCACCTGCCTGTCCATGCTTTCTCTGCTTATGCAGTTGGGTTCTAGATGGTTCAAGCTCTCATCTCCCCAAACCCCACACTTATTTGCCTCTGTTCTTTTATCCCATCTGCCCAAGAAAACACCAATTCTTTTTTTTTTTTTCAGTTGGTCCATCTACATCACTTTCCTGCTCAAGAACTGTTTCCTATTCTAAAAATAACTCTATTGAGGTGTATTTCACATATCTTATAATTCATCCAAGTGTACAATTTAGGGATTTTTTTAAGTAAACTTACCAAGTTGTGCAATCAGCACCATAAATCAGTTTTAGAACATTTTCATCACCCCAAAAGATCTCTTATACCCATTTATGGTTAATCCCCATCCCCAGGAAACCACTAATCTATTCTTTACCTTTCTTAGATATTCCATATAAATGAAATCATACAATAAGGTCTCTTGTGTCTGGATTTTTTTCACTGAGCATGCTTTGAAGGTCATCTGTGTTATATACTATGTATCTATAGTTAATTTTGTTTTATTGCTGAATAGTAGTCCACTGTATACCAAATTTTGTCTATCCATTTACTCACTGCAGGACATTTAGGTTGTTTTCAATGTTCAGCTATTATGAACAATGGTACTAAGGTCATTTGTTTGCAAATCTTAGTGTGAATAAACGTTTTCATTTCTCTTAGGTAGATACCTAAGAATGGAACTGGGGGCCATATGGTACATTTATGTTTAACTTTTTAAGAAACTGTCAAAGTATTTCCCAAAGTGGCTATACCATTTTACATTCCCACCAGCAATGTATGCGGGTTTCCATTTCTTCAAATCCTCCGCAACATTTGTTATTGTCTTTTATATAATACCCATTCTCGTAAGTATGAAATGGTAGATAATCATTGTGGTTTTAATGGTGGCGGTATGTAAAGGGGGAGAAGGGGGGGACCTAAAGCACCAACCCAGTGAAACTAGTACCAATATAAGTACATAATTATAACCTCAGTTGGGTCCTCACTATTCACCCAGAAATCCTACTTTGTTTCTCTGATCTGCTTATTTTTCCATACTTCACAATAATTCTTATCTTTATCCGTTCTCCTTAAAATTTAATCTCTATTTACCTCCTACAGGACCTAGCCTCACTTCCTAACCTACCTCAGCTTCCTCCAACTATATTCACAAATCTTGCTATGTCTGGATTCACCCTTTCCCCAGTTAAGTAAGCTGTGGAACTCCTCCTACTAAATGCCAGCTTCTCTATAGGAGCTCTACATCCCACTCCCACTGACCATTTTAGGATCCATGAGTCATCAATTATTTCCTCTTTCCTTTTTTGCAATCGACCCTTCGACTGAATTCCTCCAACAAACATTTAAACAGCCTCTAGCCCCAGTTTAACAACAAAAGCTTCCATGTACTGCTTTCTTCAAATTCTCAACCAAGTTTTTTGAAAGAATTATCTGTATTCCCAATGTCCACTTTTCCACCTTCCATTCATTCCTCAGCCCACACCAATCTGAATTCTATCCTTAAAACACCAACAGTGTAGGTCTAGCTAGAGTGCCAGTATCTTTGCAGAAATATTCGACAGAGCTAATAATTTCCTCCTCCTTGAAATACTCCAGTTTTCCTGCGGACATGTTGTTGTTAGACAATTTTCCATGTCTCCCATCCCCCATTTCTATGTGACTTGTGAACAGAGGCAACGACTACCATTATTCCAGACTATTTTTTCAAAGACAGCTAGATAGTGAATAGCCTTGAAAGATAAGATAGTGTCTCCCTCTGGGGCACAGAGCAGGCGTGCTTATTACTCACAGAAGATTTGGGTTTCCTAAGCCACAGTTCCTTCTCTGTAACACAATCACTGTGTGTGCAGGTGTTACTTGGCCCTCTTCAACATCACCCTATAGAAACTGGAGTTGGGAAACCAACACAAAGGCTGATACTGTAACACTGCTGTGGGTAATAAACTGCCCATTGTCTCTAATCCAGGAGTTACGTGCCTTCTGCCAATATCCATGAAACTATGTCAAGCTAACTTGTTATAATAACTTGCAAGGAGAATAAAATTTTAGATTCTTTATAGTTCTTAACACTTTCTGGTAGCCTTGTTTTGTTTTCCTTGCTAACCTCTACTCCTTTACCTGATCTTTAAATGTAGGAATTCCTCACAGTTCATATCTAGGCTCACTTCTTTTCTTACTATGCTGTTTTCCCTAAGGGGTTTAATTGCTCCTATGGCTTCAATTATGACTATCTTTACACCAATAATCCCAAAATATTAATATTTTTCTGCAGCCCAGATCTGTATCCTGAGCTCCAAAACCATATGCCTAATTAAGTGCCTCCTGAACATCTTTGCTTGAAATCTGGTATGTTCCCAAATTCACTGTATCTGAACAGAACTCAGTGATTTTCCCTCTGCATGGCCCCTTATCATCACCTCCTCTTCTGTCCCCTAGAACAGTCAATAGCACCACCATCTGCCCTGATGCTTATGCCAAAACATCTAGGCATCTTCCTTGACACCACTCTCCCACAGCTTTCTAATTTGTCTTCTATCACCACCACCACTAAATCTAGTCCAAACCACCATTACATCATCTGTCATCTAGGTTCGCCAGGTGGTCTTTCCAACCCCATACCTGCCCCACACCGGTGGTTTTCAAAATGTGGTCCCAGGACATCTAGGGGGCCCTGCAAACCCCTTGATCTGGTGAGGTCAACTGAGATACTATTTGCTTTTTTCAACATTTGGACATTTGCACTGATGGTTCAAAAGCAATGGTGAGTAAACTGTTGATGCTTTAGCAGGACTCAAGGTCAAGACACTAAATTGTACTAGAGGTTGAGCATCCCTGATCCCAAAATCCAAAATGCTCTAATGAGCATTTCCTCTAAGCATCCCATCAGTGTTCAAGAAGTTTCAGATTTTGAATTTTCAGGTTAGGTATATTCAACTTGTAGTATTCATACTGTTTTTTTTTTGTTTCTTGCTATGTTGTCCAGGCTGGACACGAATTCCTGGGCACAAGCAATCCTCCCGCCTCAACTTCCTCAGTAGCTGGGACTACAGGCACATGCCACCAAGCCCAGCTCTTCATATTGTTTATTATCACACAAAATATCAGTTTCACTTAAGAATGTCTTTGATGAAGCAGAAAAACTGTTAATTTTATTAAACCTCTACTGCTGAGGTCAAGTCTGTTTAATATTCTGTTTGACAAAAATGAAATGTATGTATACAGCATTTCTGCTCAATATCAAATACAATGGTTGTTTGAGGAAAAACACTTGTATGACTGTTCAAGTTGCAAGCTAAAATAGCCACTTTTTCAAAGAACACTGATTTCGCTTGAAAAAACAATTGATAAACTATGGTCATTCAAACGTAGGTTATTTGGCAGAAAGTTTCTCAAAAACAAATGAAGTGAGCTTGTCTGTTCATTATCTAGTTCTTCCGGTCTGCTCGTTACATTCACTGGCCTTTGAGAAATAAAGGTTCACTGAGTTATGCTGAACTTCCAAATGTGGACACATTACATGTTATATTTTAAAAGTATATATAAAAATACACACACATTTGTTAATATCAGAGCCCTCTCAACGTGGAAACCAGAGTCCCTGTGTGACTGCAAAGTCTGAAGGCCTCCTGCCTGTGCCAGTACCTGGACTGAGACACTCCCACACAGAAG